AGGAGATTAGATAAAGAACTGGCAGTTCTCACTATAATTGTTAAAAACTAGATAATGTAAAGGGAATTTGCTGAAAATGTCAGTCAAATTGATGCACTCTGGACCAAGATTTTAGTGATTGAATTTTCGGCCTAGCCTCGATCATCATTACTAAAGTCGGTACTATAAAAACATAGTCTCGATTTTCCATTTTATGATTAAATCATGAATGGAAGTCGAACAACAAATCGGAACCTAATCCAATAAACATCGCAGACTAGCGATGACATCAAGAGTTGATTATGGTCTGGATAAGTTAATTAATGTCTAATTAATAATTTATATAACATTTCAGGCCTAAAGAAAGAACTGCAATAGGCAGATTTAGCTCTTGCATAATGTATGCTTAACATTGCAATATATTTAATTCACTAGTAAGTTAGGAAATAAGTCTTAATAATAGGTTCATTTATGTTGGTGAATAAAATTAGTCCAAATCTCTATTTTTTAAAATGAAAATGATATCTTTTTTAACAAAGAATGCTCAAATAGCTAAGTTATTTTAACTTTAAAACTTCTTAGCTTCTCTAAAATGCATCATTTCAACTTTTTTGAAAAAATACTAATTATCCACACTAAGATGCACTCAAATTGATTATTTAACATTTAATTTTGAAAACTAAATTAAAATATAAGTCATTAGTATATAATCTCCCAGCTTGGATTCAATCAAATTAAATAAAAAGAGGCCTTATGAGAGATTTTAACAAAGATTGTTTTTGACCTTTGTCTGCAAAATGTAGACATATTGTCAATTCATCATATCTTTATAAATACTGTATAGAATTGAACCATTTTTGGACTGATTCGTTTTAGAGATTCAATTTTCAGAAAAGTATTGTAGAGAGAGAGAGAGAGATGGGGTTTATGTCAACTTGACACAAACTACTAACTAGGTCATTTCAGACTAACACATGCTGACATGGTTCAATTTTATTTCAATAATTCGCTTGTGCGTAGCGGTCTTTAGCAGTGGGAGGAAACTGGAGGACCCGGAGAAAACCCATGAGATTGGATAGGCGACCCTACTCCTTGTCACGTACAACCGGGGAATCAAAACCCCGCCAGATGACTCAATGATACACCTTATGATACAGCATGCATGTGCTAACCATTCGGCCATCCAACCCTCCGAAATGAAAAGGGGGTTAACCTCCTACTTTTCTGCACCAACAGGGCTAATTAAGCTGGGCATACGTTGCTATACAGTGTGCTATGAGGTAAATTTCCTCCTGACAGCAACTGAATTTCAACTGTCAAGGGTTCTTTTATGTGCATGCCAACGTGTACATGGGACCTCAAGTTTCCCATTCCATCTGAATAACTAGACACTATTCCTTTCCAACAGCTCTGTAGACTGCACCACTGACATGAAAAAAGCACATAGTATTCAATTCACAGCCAACACTGTTTAAGGAGCCAGGACATTACGCGCTATGGCACCCCTGAGACTTCAAGATAAAGGTTGAAATTTGGAAAGATATTGAATAAATTGTTCTACTGTAAAATGTCGATTTACTATAGCATATTTGTTTATTTATATTGGCAACTTGTTAAATTATGTGATTTATCAATAATAATTTATCTTCCATAATGAGACGTTTATGTCTTCCTTTTCTTCAATATAAAGAAGACAATAGTCTATAGACTATTCTAACCTACTGTTCTCTGGGTGTATCTCGAGCGTTACGTTATGTTGTCAACACAACACCGTGTATTAAACTAAACGTGCGAACAATGTGTATACAGTCCAGAAATATACACATTTTATATACCGAAAATTACTTATTTTCAAGAAATCCTGAAAAATTGAAAGGCAAAATCACGATGTAATCAAACTGATTTCCATATAAAACCGTAAAAAATATACAAACCGTAAAATTCATCGATAGATTATTGACTTCCACTTAGCCTCTTGTTGATGATCAGTGGCTATAGCAACCGAATCAATGCAATCGGCAGGCTCCGCAGCCGATAGCAGTCAGCATCCCGCCCTTTATTATTGGATTAGAAACCTTTAATGTTCCGAGTTTATTAAATGGTCGCTAAATCCTCGCTTGCAATTAAAGAAAGGCATATAAAAAGTGTCGACTTTTATGTTTATTATGAGGAAATGGTCGTACTGAAGTATACTGTCATACATTTCGGGGCTACTATAGACATTAACTTCGAAAAAAAAAGAGAAATTTGTCCTCTATATAACCCCCACCCACTATCCCCTTTGTCAGGCCGGTGGGTGGATGACGGTGTCAACTCTGTGAAAAAAATGTTTGAATAGGTATTACACAAAAATGTCGTCTTTTTTATTATTATTGATCGATGGTCGGGAGCTATGTCAATTTATTTAACTCAGGGTTATAAACAACCATGCATTAACCGTAAACATTCTTTGTGTTCATTTCCAGTCCTATAATATGTTGGAAAAGGAAAATAATTTAATTAAAATTAGAATTTCCTGGTGCCGTATCAAAATTTATCAAGCAGACTAGCACCCTTTGAAAACATCGTTTACCGCATGAATCATTATCAGTTTGTTAATTTTATTAGCGTCTTTTTCTTAGAATTTTATTCACGGATTCCATAAAAGGAATCAATTTTGCAATCGGAGGTTTATATAATGGTTAAGGACACTTCAAAGGTTTTGAAATCGGGACAGTTTCATCATAATTAGTATTTCCCCAACAACCGTAAGGTCTGCGTGAGCGAGTCATCCAATTTCACACAGGTTTTTACTGTTCAAGTTAATATACTTTATTCTCAAATGTCTTTAACTATTAATTGCTTTGTAACCCTGAACTTGGCCTGGTATGCTTATATCAGATTCTTTCAAAGACCGCTTTACTAAACGAATCCAGCTCTATATATAGATCATCGGGTGACCGAGATTTAAATGGATTGAAACACGATCGCCATTTAATAATTTAATTTAAAAAATGGTGAATCGAGACTTAGTCAAGTACCGTCGCTACGTTAATAAATAATAGACAATCTACATGTCTGCCACATCTTGTTAAAACTTCAAACACTGATAAAATCGTTCAGAATAAAGAAATTTGAATGAAATTTTCAATAATATACTCATTTTTCATAATCTTTTTGGGAACGATTATAGGAAAAACGGCCAGCTCTTACATTTAAACATATCTATCTATATAGCATTTTCGGCGGATTCGCCGCATGTATAGTCTACCCTCAGGTCTCCGTCTTGAACCAGGGGGGTTGGATGGCTGAATGGTTAGCGTGCGCGCGCTGTATCATAAAGTCTGTCATTGAGTCGACTGGCGTGGTTTCGAATCCCCGGTTGTACGTGGCAAGGAGTAGGGTCGCCTGTCCAACCTCGTGGGTTTTCTCCGGGTCCTCCAGTTTCCTAACACTGCTAAAGACCCCTACGCGCAAGCGAATTATGTAAATAAAATTAAACCATATGTTAGTCCCGAAATGACCTAGTTTGTGTTGAGTGGACGTTAAACCCCATTTCTCTCTCTCTCCGTCTTGAACCCGATGGAGGAGGGATGTGAGAGATTTATATACATGATGTATATACAATTATGTCCCGTTTTTGAAAGAAGGTGATCTTCAGATTTTTTAAAGGCTAAAGAAAGAAAAGACCTTCGACCAGAGCGCGGCACAATGTTGTTGCATGCAATACTCAGTCATCAACATCCGCGCCCCTACCCAGCATATAAAGGAAATTATTTAAAAAAATGTCTAACTATATATTTGGGTCTGTGTTTAAAGATTCGTAAAGATATTTAAAAACAGTTTATGATGCCCGGAATAAAAGTTGTATGCCAAAGACTCAAATTTGTTTTCATGGAAACAAAAATAATCAAATTCGAGAGAGAATGTAGCAAATATCACATTAGTATATAATGATAGGTTGATAAATGATATGTGTGCATAGGTTGATAAATGATATGTGTGCATAGTTTTATAAAGATATCTACAATGTCTTGAGATATGGCCCGCAAGCAAGGGCTATTATTAACGTAGATGTCGAGAAACAATGAATAGTGTAAAATTAACAATGCCATATTGATAATATTTACAAGATTTTGTTATAAACAATGTAAGTTTAAGTAATCTCTTGATGTCGATGTTGGTGCGTATAAATCAAAAAGTAATAATTTGAGCCCATCCGGCACATATATAGCAGCGTGGAACCAATAGCATCTTCAAATTGTCATAATCCACGTATTTGCTACTATAGGTGTAAGGCCTGTGGCTTCTAAACTTGTCTTTACCTATAATCAACCCCTTTGACCCACAGGATTGTTGTCAAAAGCCCTAAAACCTGTTTTACCACTCACTATTTATTTATTTTTTTTAAAAAAGAAACTAAATGAAAATTTGAGAGCGATAACACACCCAATTTTAAAACTTACCACCAAAGAAAAGGAGTAAGATTTAAGAAGAACAAGTTGACTTTTTACAAAGTAGGATCAATTCATCAACGATAAATTCATAAGGCTACAAGTACAAGTATATTATTATTAAGAATTTTTATATATCGCCATTTAAGAGCGCTTAACACATATAAATCAAGCGAAAATTTATTGTAAATTTACTCTCATGTGCGTACAACAATCTTGCCTGTATAATAAATAGATAACTGAAATGGGGTTATGGTGTAAATCCATACTAGAAGATAAAAGTGCGATTATTGCTTGTCTGAAAAAAAAGTAAAACTCGCAATGTAATGTCCCAGACCAGAAGTTACGAAAAGGTCAGGTTGACCGTTTGTTAGCCGACGAGTCCCGATTTTTCACGAGCATAATAAATACTCCGAAAAGAAATAGTATGTAATGGAGATTAAGAAAATAATAAACGGTCCTGAAAACAATCTAAATAAAGGCTGTATTATAGAAGGCAAGTTCTGGATGCAAAATGTATTTTTGAAACTAATTTCCTATAGACTTATCTAATTTCGTTTCGCGGTTTTTACCAACTTTTTAAAACATGGCAGCAACATAAATGAATAAAAATAAATATTTACTTTATTGGATAAAATAAAACATAAAACAAATAGAGGTGCGCTAATTTTAACGTTATAGGCATAGAAAGGCAGCAGGTTTAAATGACAGAAACCGTGTGGCCTATGGTTTCATACATTTTATTTATATCCGAAATATTGGGAATAGTCAGCTGAGTTGTGATAGATCCATAGATTTATACTGGAACTTGGAATTGGAAATAGATCTCGGTGTTCGCCGATAGACCAGTCCGGTTTCACATGTCTTAGTCTTTACACCTCTTGCGTGCAGGTAACAGAACACTTGACAGTTATGATTTAGTGAAGAATAGGTAGACAGAATTCAAAGTTTAATGCATTCCGAGTTATAATGTGGGGATAGGCGCATGAACTGAAGGCCCACAATGCACAAACAGTAAAGATGAAGTGAAGCCTACAATTCCTGGCAGCATCGCGCTGATTGACCGAAACAGGGATCCCATGTTAAAGTCTTTGAACCCACAACTAGAATGATCCGTGATCAAATCCCATCAGTATTTATAGGCGGTGAAGAACCTTTGGATATTTCATACTTGTCAGGGGTAGCTGACAAAGAGAATATTGCCTAGTATTTGGATGCCATGAAGTGCCAAGGTCCACCCACTGACCGGTACTGAAATGTACATAAAGGATCCTTTGACAATTGAAATTCAATGAACAGTTGGCAGAAATGCTGCTGTCTTATTTGTAGTTTTAGAGTGCAAGTGAAACTGATTTATAATCCTTGTGGTGATAACAGTATTGCATTCATTATGGAGTAATGCTGTATTAAAAAGAATCTACATGTATATGTACCAGTATGTGTGAAAACCCTTGTCTCAGTAAGATGGAAAGGTGTGCTTATAGAAAAAGTGTTGATAACATGCATTTTCTTTTAATCAATGAGTAGGCCTATAATTCTTTTATCTTTGTCAAAATTTTTAATTTTGTATATTTCAGAAAATGCCAACGGTAATAGCATTGGATGTATCTCTGTCTATGAGTCGTTTGGTAAAGACAGAAGGTAGTGAAGAATACGATAAACGTCACTTGGCTATTCATGGTATTAATACATTATTAGACCAAATTAATGCACATTCTAAATTAGAATTTGTTTCTTTGGTGAGTAAGATTGATTTAAAACAAATTGGGATCCGAAATTGACCATTAGGTGATAGGTACATGAATTCCCAATGAGAAAACAGTCTGGAAAATCAGAAGTAAATTTGTTGGTCCTCCTGGTTAGTAAACCAGTGCCATGCTGTATCATCTAGTAGCAATGTTAACAATATTGTTTGAAACTGATTTTAAGGAGGTAGAAAATAACTAGAATGAAGGAAGTAAATTTAGCTTTATAATCCTTCAGATCATCCCCTTTGTCTCTAATTCTAATTAGTGATATATGATTAATTCACATTATTTTATAATTTCTTTCTTACAGGACCATTGAATATTGTATTTATTTTTTATCGATTGATAACAATTTGAATTGTGTTTTACAGGTTGTCTTTTCATATCTTTATGAACAACTAGTTTCGTTCACAAGAGAATATGACACAATTAAAACAGCACTGAATAAAGTGGAAGTATATAATAAAACCTGTATAGAAACAGCTCTCAATGGTATCAGTGCTATTATTTTAGAAGAATGGGGAAACAGTTCACCATGCCAGGTTGAAATTTTACTTTTTATAACTCTGTTTTTTTTTCTAGGATTATTGGAAGGAAAGCATTGCTTGAACAACACAAAATCATGGTGAAAGTGCATTAAAGGGGGACAACTCCATGGAGCTTGGGTTTAAATCTGTTGTTTTGGGGTTTCCCATCTGAAAATTAAGCTTAAGTAGTTTCAATGATAAAAGAGAAGCAAATTTGCACCAAATGCACTATGACCAAAAAAATGATCATTGATTTGTATAGTAAATTTTGTAAGAGTTGTTAAAGAAATGTTAGTCTTAGTTGTAGCTTTTTTTTTTATTATTTTTTACAGGTAATACTGATAACTGATGGAAGTCCTGGTATTGGTCAAGGTTCATTGAAAAACTTTCTACTGTCTTACAGTCAAAATGATGCAAAAACAAACAATGCTAAATCACCTCTTCCTTTTAAATTCCCGTGTAAACTTCATGTTGTGTGCATGGCCAATGGAAGTGATCCAGATTTTAAAAATTCTCTGTCTATGTATGAGAAAATGATAGAAATAAATGGACAAGGCGGTGAAGTGTTTTATCCTGAAAGTACTCTTAGTTTAAAATCAGTGCAACAAACATTCAGTAATTTAGCAGAAAAATATTTTCATCCATTTCATGGTGTGTTACATTGTGGTAATTTAAAAAATTCTGTTCAGTTATTTCCTCATCCTGTGCCATATTTTGTGTAAGTAATTCATATTTTTAGAATACAGAGTATAGAGTGATTCCATAGAATTGTGATTCCATAGAATTGTGATTCCAGAGAATTGTGATTCCAGAGAATTGTGTCCAGTGTCCAGTTCTATTACTAAATTCCATGGACACATTTCATTTGTTCTTTGCTTAGTAGATTCAGGATTGACACATATCTGATATAATAAACAACAAATTCAAACATAAATTTAAAAGTAATAATGCATATACCCGTTCTATCTCTACAGAGGTATATCTTCCATAGATCATGAGATACTTAGATCAAGGAAATACTGTCCTTTAATTGCCGTTGGGGGGGATGGCCGAATGGTTAGCATGTGCGCTGTATCATAAGGTCTGTCATTGAGTCACCTGGCATAGTTTCGATTCCCCGGTTGTATGTGACAAAGAATAGAGTCGCCTGTCCAACCTAGTTGGTTTTCTGCGGGTCCTCCGGTTTCCTCCCACTGCTAAAGCAAATTATTGAAATAAAATTGTGCCATGTGTTATGGCCAAAATGACCTAGTTTGTGTCGAGTGGACATTAAACCCCATTTCTCGCTCTCTCAATTGCTTTTGAATATTTAATACAATATATTTTAAATTACTAGTTGTCCTTTCATTGGGGTTAACAATATTGTATCATCTTAATTGTATATTTCAGTGATTCTGATCTAGGTAAAATAGAAAGAAATATATCACATGATATACATATCTGTGGTTTTATGGACATAAGTGATGTATCTAGTCCACCAACGATATCCAGACATCTGGTTATACCTATGGCTAAAGATAAAATAAAATTAGATGGTAAATATTGTCAACACCTATTGGTCAAGAAATTTGATGGAATATCACTGCATATTCCCATTAAGTATGCTCAAATTATAGCGCGTTCAGACGCTTAGTTTTAAACCAGTTCATAATCGCCGGGGCTTTTAAGACAGCATCTTGTTGCGTTCACACATACTATAAGCCAAACCAGTTTAACTATTCTGACCTCTTCGGTTAGAGTTAAATACGCATGGGTAGCTTTATGTTCTTTATTCGGTTCTCGCACGCTTTCGATAAAATTGGCACTGCCAGACCCCGAAGAATGTAACTTACTGCGCATGCTCAAAGCAAGCTGGAGCCGGAGTTTTTAAGCCAACCCGTTCAGACGGCCAAGATGAACCAGTTTAAAATAAAAAGCCTTCTCGAAGACAGGTCGCGAGCTTGGGTTTTTAAACTGGTTTGATGCCCCACATTTGCGTTCAGACGCTTAAGTTAAACTGGTTTAACGATCCCCGGGGCTATTAGATAGCATGCATAATTTGAGACCAATCGGTTTATCCATCAATCAGATACAGACCCAATCAGTTAATCCATCGAGAGTGAGTTGTGTAAATTGCATTTATATTCTAGGTGAAAGCATCCAAGCTATTAAGACGCACCACCATTTCTTCTTCATTACGTTTGGCAATCCGTTATCTAAATCTGACAATACTATTGTCCAATCGGTATAGTAAATGGCGGGATTTTGATTCCCCGGTTGTACGTGACAAAGAGCAGGGTCGCCTTTCCAACCTTGTGGGTTTTCTCCGAGTCCTCCAGTTTCCCCCCACTGCTAAAGACGCCGACGTGCATGTGAATTATTGAAATAAAATTGAACCATATGTTAGTCCCGAATTGACCTAGTTTGTGTGGAGTGGACATTGAACCCCATTTCTCTCTCTCTCTCTCTCTGTTATAGATTCTGTAATTTTTGACAATACTATATATATTAAATTGGTATATTAAATGTTTAATATAGATTCCGTAAGTAAAGATGGTAAGAATGGTAAAAGTGAAGATGATGAAGAGGTTTCAACAGTTGAAGAAGGGAAAATACCAGCGTTTACAGTAATGTTACATGGTAGTCTGAAGGTGGAGGGTATGGTAGCTATAGCACAAGTAGAGTACGATTATCTTTCTATTATTTAATTTATAGTAAAACAAAATTCAACAAGTTGAAACAATATTTGTGTAGTAAAATAGAGGGTATTGGTTTATCAATTTGTTTTGATATCAAAAAATAGGGGATCAAATATTGAAACCAGCTTTTACTGATCATGGGTTGTACCTGCGAAGCTGACATTGTAAGTGTGCTTAGTCAAATACGTGGGACAGAAAAATGAGGCCGAATGTTGGTGTGCAGCAATAAACATACATCTGTCTCAGTGACCAGAGTATTGTGTTGAAGAGACATTAAATTTCGAAATTTTTATGAGTTATTTATTGATGAAGCTAGTGACATTCCCATTCAAGTGTCGCTATCCAACATTTGACTGTACCTGTCAGCTCACGCCTTTTATCAAGGGATATTTAGAATATTTTTACTTCCCATCAACATAATGTTTGGAGGTTTGATCTAGTTTTAGGTTAATATCTTTAATTTGTTTATTATTAATACAGGGTTATAAAATTCAATATTGGCTCTGTCTGCAATCTAATTAAAACACAGATCCTATTTCGTTTCGTTTTTTATAGTTTAAAATTTTGTTTTACTTGTCTTTACTACACTAGGATCTGGAAGAGTTATTATATTACCAGCGTTTTGGTTGAAATGATGGATAAACCAATGAAACGATCTGTTACAGCGACTTCTTGGCGTGCCATGCACGGAACTATGGGTAAACCACTAGAAACGTGAACGTTGATTGATTAATCAATGGCTGACATCATAGGGTCAAAAGCCGGTTGTACAACCCCTAACACGACCTTCGAGTACAACTTGTCAGATCTTCATGTAGTGTAGGCCATTGAAAGTATAAAAAAAAACTAAATTATAGATCTGTATTTTAATCAGATTGGCTCCGTCTGCAGACTAACATAAATGTAGACAGATACCCACTTTACACAGCAAATCCAACTTGATTAAATCAAGAATTCTTGTCATTTTAAGGTATTTATATTTTCAGTGATGATTGGTATGCTATGTTATTTTCATGGGCAGACAGCAAGAAAAAATCTAATTTATTACTTGCCCTGTTTGAACCAGGTTTGCTATTAATGATTATCCTCCTGTAATCTTTATGTTTTGTTTATATAGTATGCATTGTAATGTAATGTTATAGAAGAGTATTTAAAAACATAATTGACAGTTTTATTTACTTTTTACTAAAGGTACATTATATAAGATTTAAATACAGAGCTAGCCATTCTTGCTATAATAGTTTGAAAAGAGATAATGTAAACTGAATAATTTGAAAATTTCATTCAAATTACTCTATTAGGAGCGAAGATATTAGCCTTTGAAGGTTTAACAAGATGTGTACAATAATTTCAATCACCGTACTAGTTGTTCGAATCTAAGTCTTGCTCCTCCATTTTTAAATTAAATCAAAATATAACTGAGCCTTTCTAATCTATTTCATATCGGAGAAATCTGATGCCATCGAGAGTTGATTTTGCCCTGGATCAGTTAATTAATGTTTAATTAACAATTTAGATAACATTTCAGGCCTAAAGAAAGACCTGCAATAGGCAGATTTAGCTCTTGCATAATGTATGTTTAACACTTTCACTGCTAAATATCTAGATCTCTGTTTTGACATCATCTTGTCTTGCTGCTAAATACAAAATCTTCATGTTTGTGACATGATCACAACAAACAGATGTCTTGTCATGTAAATAGGGGAATTAACATGGGGTATACCCCTGTTAGTGTAAAAATGCAGAACCAGTGAGCAGAATTGAGATTTGTGATAACAGTAAACAAGTTTTCTCTATGGTCTTTTCAGGTATACATTCAATAAGCTGGTTGGGATCATTAAACAAATTGGCGCCAGTGTCAGACTTTGAAGAATCCCCATATGGTCCAGATGACACAAAAACTCCTTTCCCTCTAAGACCATCAGATAAACGTAGTTATGCTCAGAGTTGTGTTGTGTGGATTAAACCTGGTGGCTTACAGGTAAAACATTATTTGGATGTATTCACTTTTTGATAACATCATTTGGATGTATTCACTCTTTGAAAACATCATTTGGATGTATTCACTTTTCGAAAACATCATTGGGATGTATTCACTTTTCAAAAACATCATTTGGATGTATTCACTTTTCGAAAACATCATTTGGATGTATTCACTTTTCGAAAACATCATTGGGATGTATTCACTTTTCAAAAACATCATTTGAATGTATTCGCTTTTCAAAAACATCCAGACAATACAGATGGTGAATTTGTTAATATTTAAGAAGAATGTTGGTTAATATCCTCATGGCTCATTGTTCGTTTCTTCCATAAATTGTGTTACCCAGGTATTGATATGTGAATTTTGTTCATTTCTTCCATTAATTATGTTACCTAGGTATTGGTATGTGAATTTTGTTCATTTCTTCCATAAATTATGTTACCTAGGTATTGGTATGTGGATTTTGTTCATTTCTTCCATAAATTTTGTTATGTGATTCTGTTTTCTAGGCTGATTTACAGAAAGTTTTAAGACATGCCAGAAAATTACCTGATAAACAACAACAGTTTTATAAAGTAAGTACCTTATTTCTAAACAAACAAACAATTTCATTAAATGCCAGAGAAACGTTTAATATTTGGGGAATTTACATGATAGAAACTGTAAAGAAACATTCTGGCATTTAAATTATTGTCTTAGGAAATCAAATTCTTCTCAAAATTAAGATTCAAACCATTTATTACACTTACATCATGTTTGAAACAAATACGATCTTACTATGGACCAGAGGGGATGGGTGTCATCGGGTCAAGTTGCATGGTTTCAATTCCCCGCTTGTAAGTGACAAGGAGCAAGGTTTCCTAAGTCCATAACGCTCCTCACACTGCTAAAGATCCCTATGCACATACGAATTAAAGATATAAAATTGAACCATGTGTTAGTCCTGAAATGACCTAGTTTGTGTCGAGTCGACATCAAACCCTATTTCTCTCTCTACTATGGACCAAGAACCAAGCATGTCATCGCTGCCATATGTGACATATCAAAAGGCGAAATCTGTACAATTGTACAAGGATCCGGCCAATCTGTTCCTCAGAGAATTACGAGTCTTCTAATATCTCTGTAAAAGATGACTGCCTTTAACATGTGCCGTCACAGCACACGCCGTCAATCATTGGCTGAATGGTGCGTGCATTGTTTACAAAAGACGTTACTGCTTCGGGCAGAATGCTGCCTTTTAGTCATTTTAATACCCATTTACACTAAATAGGAAATAATTTTTACCTACAAATACGTCAAACGTCTTTATTTTTCTAATACATCAAAGAAATGTTTTAGAATTTAATTTGTCGGTGGATAAAAGTTAATATTTGAGACTGATTAAGTCGCATTGATGTCATTCTTATCAGTGATTGTAGCGGCCTAGCGAATATTCGCTGCTGATTAGTGTGGGATCCGGAATGCCAAGTTTGATGTCAATTGTACTTGAATTGGCGAAGCCTTCAACTCTTCTCAAAGAGTGTCACCAACAAGAACAAGAAAAACAACAAGATGAGTAGTGCTTTGGGGCCTAGTTCCTGATCCAAAAATTATATAGATGGTTTTGTTAAATGTTTCAAGATTTGATCTCACTCATAGCAAAGTTGGCTATATTATTGTTGCCTGACCATTCTAAGTATAACCACTGGTAACCTGTTTTAAAATATCTTTTTTCAGGAGCTTAATAGAATAAGAAGAGCTGCGTTGTCGTTCGGTTTTTTGGATCTACTTGATGCCATAGCTACAATGTTAGACAGAGAATGCACTATGTTACCAGGAACAGCTCATCCAAGTGCTGCCTTACAATTATCACATGCTGCAAATACTTTACGTAGCGAAATGGCTTGTGATGCCTCCCAAATGGTTCTGCCACTACAGACTAACTTCAGTAAAAATGATTAAAATGGATATGAGATTATTTACTAAATAATTATGTAGATAGATCTATTTGTGTATATTTGTATATAAACAAGCTAATGAATAAATATTCATTTCAAAACAGAGTCAATTCCTTGAGATCTGTGTATATTATATTGGTCCCCTTCAGTCTGATTGGTTGATAATGTAAAACACATTAACTGTGCTTCTAATGAATGGATTTGGATTTAACTTAACACAATCACTCTCTAACATTGATCTTTTTAGTTGATTCTTGGACTGCATTAACTTCGCTTCTGGTCAATGGATTTTGATAAGACGTATCTTCATTATCAGAGGTTAAATAGTTTTGAAAATCAATATATATTTAATTAAGCTACCAGAACTGCAGCCCGATCCAGGTTTGATCCCAGTCTTGACCCAGCAAGTCCTGCTGGATTTGTCAGCACGGCTTCCCCCGGTCAGTAGTACCCGACGGGCTTGACAAGGAACATCTTCCAGTCTTTTGGATGGAATGAAAAACTGAGGTCTGTGTGTGCACGTAAAAGAACCCATGACAATTGGAATACAAGGAAGAGTAGGTCGAAACACAGCTGTCCAGGCAAATTTTCCTCATAGCAAACTGTATACTCATCTTTGTTAGTCCAGTTGGTCTATTAAACAGGCATTATGCAAACCCTAAATCTATTGCAGGTCTTTCTATAGGCCTTAAATGATACACTATTAATTAGACAAGACCATAATTGCCCTACTTCATTCTAATTGGATATTTCATATGAGGTGTGGGTGGGTGGGGGGGGGAATGGTTAACGCATGTGTGTTTGATCATAAACTCTGTCATTGAATCAAGTGGCATGGTTTCAATTTTACACTTGTAGGTGACAGGGAGTAGGATCGCCTGTGCGACCTCGTGGGTTTTCTCCAGGTCCTTCGGTTTCCACCCACTGCTAAAGACCCCCTTCACGCTTGCGAATTACCGAAATAAAATGTCCAGAATTGAAATATAATTTTTTGTTATTTCTGACTTAAAATAGAAACATTTTACAGACTATTGTAACATGCTTAAGGGTGAATCTTGCGTTTTGATTGGTCAATTAGACACTGTCGATTTGACAATAACACCTCTCTGTTTTAGCAAGGCGAATAACTGTGTATAAATATTTCAGTGTACTTTTTTCATTTTGTGCTCAACCATCTTCCACAACTCAAATCTTTATTGACAAATATCTTCAAAAAATTCTGCTCAAATGACCATCACACTATTTTCAAACTTCATCCTTTATCCAAACACATCTCTGAAATACATATAACAGTAGAAAATCTATCATAAATTCATAAAAAGGCATCATAAATTATTCGTAACTAAGCAGTGTGGACAATTTTGTTTTCTTTTTTTATATATTACATATATTTGGCATATCATAGTATATATATATCATAGTAGTACAGTAATGATTAGATTAAAACTAGTTATTGTACACCTTATTACAGTTGGAAACTTTCCAAATTATTGAAAGGTTGTTAAGTAAGCTTATTTGTAATATTACTTTTTGTTGAGACACTTACTCTATTATTACATTATTATACTTTTCATGATAGGCCTATTCTTTTGTAAATTTAGTGTGGTAAATGAAACTAGCTTTTATATATTTTAAGAAAGAATCTCTTCCTTTAAATATACATTATTCAAGGGCTAAATTTTCTTACAGCAGGTCTTTCTTAATGACTTAAATGTTATATATATAAATTATTAATTATACATTTAATGACTTGACAAGAATATAATCAACTGTGGATACTCAAAATTTTAACTAGATTAGACCGGTTCGGCCATTTAATGATTTAATTTCAAAATGAAGGTGTGAATCTGAACAATATGAACAATAATAACTTCACTCTGAATAAAGTAATTTGAATGAAATTTTCAATATATTCATTTTTCATTATCTATTTTTGAACTATTATAGCAAGAACAACCAGCTCTTTATCTAATCTTACATAATCTATCTTTAAGTTTTCCAAAATCAATATCTTTTCTCCATTATTTAAAAATCAAATTATATCTATTCTCTATTAATTAAAATCAAATTTTATCTATTCTCTATTAATTAAAAATCAAATTTTATCTATTCTTTAATAATTGAAACTCAAATTATATCTATTCTCTAAAATCAAATTATATCTATTCTTTATTATTTAAAAATCAAATTATATCTATTCTCTATTAATTAAAAATCAAATTATATCTATTCTCTAATAATTAAAAATTAAATTTTATCTATTCTCTAATAATTAAAAATTAAATTTTATCTATCCTTTAATAATTAAAAATAATATTATATCTATTTTATTATAATTAAATATCAAATTATATATATTCTTTAATAATTAAATATCAAATTATATCTATTTTATTATATAAATGACCAAAAAAAACTTTAAATAGTCTAGATTTTGTGGTTAAGATTTTGTGGTTAAATTGCTTCAAATTATGTCAAGTTCAAGAAGAAATCAGAATTTATATATTTATCTGCTTATGCTAATTGGTATGTCAAATATTTTTTGATCCAGCCTTAAATATTTTCATTATATAGGAGTTAATGTACTATAGCCCTGTCACCTGACTAGCTAGATATAAAAGATAAGAATACAGTGTGAACAGGTATATTTATTTACTAGGTCAATTAACCTGTTTATTTATAACTTGTAATATCTATAAATAGACTTATGTATACCTATCTTGTTTACCTATGAAATAAAGGTAGAGTTTATAAGAATTAAAGGCACACCAAGCCAGAAAGTTCACATATATTTCAAAAGTCAAAAATATTTATTATTTTTTAGCATAAAATTGTTTCTGTAAATAAGCACATACCCAGTATTGGCCTTCATGGTGAATTGGCTGGCTTGTTTGAAAAAGATTAAACAATTTTCGTTACTATATTTGTCGTAGGAAGGTGTGAAATTGGTAGAAAGTAATGTAAAATGTGATCATAACTAAGTAAGATTGTTTTTAAAAAAAAATGTTTTTCTAATGATTGTGAATGGTCTTAAACTTTGTATTAAATCATCATTTGGGCATGTTGGGGCTTTAAAGTAATGCGCTCAATCCAGGGAAAACGCTAAGATATCAAATTTTAACTGCTGTCTGTGTTAAAAGTACACTTTATTATGGTAACATTTTCATTAAAGTAGCTAAGTCTCTAACTCAATATAATCCAAAACCTTCGACAATGAAAACACAAATAATTTGTCAATTTTAATTAACATTGGTGTTGTGATCTTACCAGGAAAAGATGGGCTTCTGATATCCTATATTTAAGACAAAATAAACATTTTACCATTGGTAACAAGCGACTCGGAAAAACGAGGTTAGACATATTCCACAATTCATGTCAAACGGTGACCCCATATTCTTATCTGGAGAGCATGCGCAATAAATACTACCGGTGTAGATTGAAATAACCAGACGCTAGAGATTGCCATTCGATTGGGACTTCTGGCGTATTTCGCCGAACATAACTGCTTTGAAATTAGAGTAAAAACGGAAACGATTGAATGTAAATCAGTTTATTTACATTCATATTACATTATTATATACATGTATATTGCGACCCATTTGTGTCAATTTGTAGGTCCCAAATATTAGGGATTTAGCTCCTTTAAAAGAAATAGTCTGTAAGAAATAAAAATAGACTTTTATTCTTAAATTGATAAATATATTTTTTAGGGCACCCTTAACCATTTATATTGTATTCTTTGTCAATTTGAGTATAATGTTTATTAGGGGATTAGATTAGCCTAATAAATAGGTTACCTTCAGGGTAACAAAGCTGAGATGAAAAACCAAGGCTATGTGTGGGACAGCAAATTGATAATGCACTATAAATATTTCTTGCAAGTTGCAATTTCAATAAAAGTTGAAACACTGTAGTCGGGGTAATATTCTCCCACTTTGTTGTGTGTTCTGTATCGTATTATCTGAAAATGACCAAATTATTGCTACTTTCTCTTCTCTCTTAGGTATATACTAGCCTATCATAAAATGGTAAGAAAATAATTGATTGTGACAGCTATATTAAAGCTGACTATTAATACAATAAGTAAACAAGAAGTCTAGAAACCTAACCGGTTATGCTTCATAGAATGTTTTTCTTTTAACCAGAATATAAATAATGCTGACTTAGAAGTCCTACATGCTAAATACAGTGTAACAAAATACTTATACTTGATTCATTTCAAACATGTAAATAAACTAATTTGTGATTAGATGACCCTGTTTCTGTATATCGGTGACATAACCATGGATCATTTTTTGTTAGTCATTTCATATCAGATGGCTTCAGTCCTGTTTCCTCTAGTTTAATAAATATGTTTTCAATTACACAACAACTCAGAGTAATAACTGAAATGAAATAAAATGGGGTTTAACGTCCTACTGTTCTGCTCCGGCTAAGCTTATGAAGACAGGCATATGCCATACAGTGTGCTATGAGGTAATTTTGCCTGGTCAGCAGCACTATGGCCTACTCTTCTCTTATATCCAATTCCAACTGCCAAGGGATTTTTTACGTGCACGCGAATGTATACACGTGACCTTGGTTTTTCATCCCATCCGAACCACTAGACAGCTGTCCTTGTCAGGTCCTCCATCCTGCACCACTGACAAGGGGAAACCACATCGGAAAATCCAGCATCTTAACCACTTAGCCACAGTTGTTCCCTCTGAGTAATAACACTGATTAGATTTAGGAAGGATAATTAAAAATCTGTGGTGTACTCCACAAACAGCTTTGTTGTCCAGGCATCTTAAATTCAGTAACATTTTTACAATAACAAAAACCTTATTTGTAACTCTACTATATACAGCAGTTTACCAACGTTCACAATCAAATACCTTAAAGTTTAATCTAAAATAATTGCAGAATACTGAATCTTTGTCCACAAAGGTCAGTAATTCAGTAATGAATAAACAAAATCCCATGAAACAAGAACACGAATCTTACTCTGCTATTTACAGAAGTGTACCAACTTTCAATCAAATATTAAACAAAATAAAATTCTGGAAGACAGAGACAGACAGATGGACCTATAGTCCCGTCTCCCTTCACTGTTTGGGGACTAATAATAAATAAAAGACATCAATAAATGGTATGAATTTATTAACATGTGAACAAAAGGGTGAAATATTAAAATATATCTTTCTTCACTGTACATATTAAAAAAAATTTTAAAAGCGGAGGTAATACATATTTTTATACAGTATGAATATAAATATTTACATCGTATTGGGATAGTAGTATAGCTTGAGGAGGACTAGTAAGCAGTACTTTGTTGGGGTTGGCACTTTTGGTCTATGGCATTGAAAAAAAAGTTGTTTCTTCTGTCAGGGTCAGTAGAAGGATTGTTGAACAGTTTAAGTATGATTGAGGCATATTGTGTTGTGTTTTTCTTGGAAGGGGGGTGGAGGTCAAACTCAAGGATCATCCCACACAATACAAATTCTAGCTACATTTCAGGTTGGCGATAAAATTTTATGCAACACAAAAAATAAAGAATAAAAAACACATGTAAATACTTCTCAATTATGCTTTCACATATGGACACATAGCACTTGTAACTACATTGGGTGAATTCAATTCCTGTGTTGTGATAGTGTAGTGTTAAACACAAGTAAGCATATAACACCATGAGAACACAATGCCAGCACCACATATAAGACAGCCTGAAGGGCTGTATTCAGTCTTAAGACCAACTAGAAATCAGCCAGATTTCTTCAAGTTTGGGAATGTGACCTCAAAGATTTGTTGAAGAGAATCTTGTCATCAACCTCTCAAAGACAATAAATTGTAGCCCAATTATGATCTATTCAGATGGTGTATTGTATAAGTGTCATATTACACTGCTCTATATTTAGAATGTAACACTAAAGCTAGATGGGTTTGGAATCAGATTCTATGAAATTTGAATAAGAGAATAAGAAAAACTAATCAAATTAAACACAGAAATAAACAAATTTAATAACAATTTAATAAAATTAAAAAAAATTGATTCAAATATTACATAATGTAATAATAAGCTTATTAATTTGATGTAATATCTACAGCAGCTTGTCTAAGCCAGGGTATAAAATATCTTACATTATTTTACTCATATACTTTGATATTGACCAATTTGATGTTAACCAATTAAATGAATTTGGAACTTTTTCTTGGGGAGATAAATATTCATAAGTAAAACAAGGGTTGTTGAGCACATTACGATTGTATAACTCTTGCCATATATATATATAACCAGGATATAATATATATAACCAGGATATAATTTAGATAAGAAAGATATGATATCATATCCCTAGCCATAAATAAATATTTCCGTGTAAATTTCCACATCAAGAACTCGTAGTATTATTCTTACAATTTCTCGTACAATAGGGGCCACAAGGCAAGAAGTTAGGCCCGATATACGCGAACATCAAACCAAGATCTTTGATACATAAACATATAATATTAAGTTTTTTTCAAAACCGGATACAAATCGTTAGAGGGACCACAGCCTTCGATCCGATTATCACAAAATTCAAACCCAGGGTGTAACGGTGTATATTTAAACGGTTTTTAAAATCGGGTATAAACTGTAATTTTTGGTACACCCGGGGTCCATAATCTAGGAGGTTACGGACCGATATGTGCAAATATGGAGAGAAACAAAAATCTGTGGAATATAGACATATATTTTAAGTTTGATCAAAATCGGATAAAAAAATTGTGACTTCTACAGTGTCCACAACCTTGGTATTATATACTTTTATACTATTTGCGAACGAGGAGCGGGCAGTTTCAATCCGGTTTTCATGAAATTCGAACTCAACCATCATAAGGGTGGAATGGTGATATGTTAGAACAGCTTTTAATATTGGATAAAATGCCAATATCAAAAGGAACCGCGTGTCCACAAATAAACTGTGGGCTGACAGGGGCGACTCAATACACGTCCACTTGAAAATATGGGCGTACAAAAATAGCTCAGCATGATAAAACTTGGTTTTTGGAAGACTAAACAACTGATATCAAAGACTTTGTATGAAATGAGATTTTTATTTTAGAAATTAAAATGTTAAGTTATTTGATACTCCCACTGGCAGGTTAATAGTTGTCAACGCTTATGTAATTTTTATTAGGGCAATACTACTCAAGATGGACATGTTGTTTAGATCAGAATACCAAGCAATTAAAATCAGTGAACCGGACCAAACCCAAACATCCAAAATTTAGCACTTTTTCCTAGATAGTCCTAGCACTGTATTGGTCTAATCACACAACTCTTGTCTCATCTATGTTACCTTAACACTAATTTCTACCTGATCTCTTCAGTTTGTAGATATTTTCAATGCCCTTTTCTAGAAAAATTATGGCTTTAGAAAATGATCAGACAGAAAATGGGCCTTATGAATTAAATATCTCTAACACTAAACCCTGGGGGTTAAAAATTACTCATTTCAAGTCAAGTGTTAATCAAGCTGGTGAGAATGTTTAGAGGCTTATTTAATAGAAAGCAATTAAATAGTAATTAACCTAATTATTTCAGGCAGTACTATTTTTCTAATTTCCAAAATAATTCCTGTATAATGATATTATGTTGACTTTGATGTTAAACAGTAAAGAAATGATATTTAACCGGGGGAGTACCACTGACTAAATATTTGGGGTCTAACTGTCTAACATATAGTTCTATTTTATTTCAATAGTTCCCTTACACGTAGGGTTCTGTAACAGTGTGAGGCAACCGGAGGACCCAGAGAAAACCCATGAGGTTGGACAGACGAACCTACTCCTTGCCACTTGACTCACTGACAGACCTTACGTTCTTACATGTGCACACCTAATCATTGAACCCCCAGCCCCCTATTTAAACTACAAGTGACTCTTATGAAATAATTAGTTGAGGCTGTAAGATGCAAACACTTTCTACGGGCTATGCACAATATTTGCTATTATACTTTTAATATTACTTATACTTTTAATATTACTTTGGAAGAAATTAATTTTTTTAGTTAAACTTCTAAATATTGAAATACTCTTTTGAGTCAAGATAGTTTCCAAGCAAAAACTGACACTGGTGTTGTTAATAATACACTACTGTTATTTAACAATGGCTTAACCCTAATGTAACACTGGTTTAAACCTAGATATAGCTTAAATTAAGGCCTAAAACAGTTAAACACAACCACAACCCAACCTTGACCTAGGCCTAAACCCCAGGACTTGAGTTGACCCATTGATTGTATAAGCTTATGTAATATGACCAACATGGAATTTATATTATTATATGAACTTAATGATACTTATACCTACTGATAACAATTAATGTACATTGTACCTAAAGATTTCTTTCATTTTTTTTATCTTAAATGATTATAGTATGTTATCAATATCACATGATATAGATGATATAAGTACATTAGCCAAACATAGGTGTTATATAGATTTATAAGTGTAGGCAATGTAATCTGTACTCTGTACTCTACACACCTAATATCTTATCTAAACCGGTACCAATCTCGTACCACTATTACATGAACATCAACATCTATTACTACCACATGTATATCAGATAAACAATAATAATAAGTAATGTGTGTAAGAAAACATCTGATAAGACAGCATGCATCATTAGCACACAAATATTTATTAGCATAAACACATGATAAATTAAGTAAACAATACTATCTAAATGACCTTTTTAACAAAAACTTTGAATTTCTAGGAAATATGATAGGATGTTTTGTTTATTGAAAAAATAAAATATATCGGTGACATAACTTTATCAGGATATTGACATCGACCTTTGGTTTGAAAAAGAATGGTCTGTTTAAATTAATTAATGTCAACGAAAGTTCCAGTGATTACTGAATTTTATTAACGAAGGGATTATTGTAGTCCAATCAAAATGTTACTGTGTTGACTCCAAAACTGAAGAGGCTAGATATTAAGCGATTTTCATTATTGATCAATTACAAATTTATTTACTAAAATAAAAATAGAATCTGATTATTTCATGCCGTAACCAAAACATTACTGTAATACCACAACCAAATATACTGACGTCCAAAAGAAAGTATACACACTAAAAGTATGACTAAGTTTTGTTTAGATTAAAAACATTTGTAAGCAAAATAAAAATGTGAAACAAATTGACATTCTACCCTAATACCGTATACCATGGAAAAACGACTTTGGTTGATGCAGCACAAAATGCACAGTGTATACTTTCTTTTGGACATTAGTATAACATGTCTACCATTGCCAAAGGGAGCAACAATTAAAAACAAAGCTGAAGTATCATAGCAACAATGCTAAAGATAATACTCAATAACAAGATTATCTTAAATCATTTACAGAAACCATTTTAGCCACATAAATCAATTATAACAGTATTGCACATTCAATTAACAAAACCAATCTAGTAAGACTATTACTCTAGTGTTATTTACACCAATTAAGCTGCTAGTGCTCTTAATTAAAATTAAGGGAAATTTTTCTTAAAGATGCTTTATGTATGAGCTAAATCTGCCTATTGCAGGTGTTTATTATCATTTATTATCATGACAAGCCTTTAATCAACTCTCTAGATCATCGGATGGTCAAAAAATGGATTTAAACATCCATGAAATTAAAAAGTGGATGACGATAAAATGAACAATCAAGACTAAGTCTTGGTTGTCAAGTACCATTGCTAAGATAATTAACGACCTACACTATATCTTCAAACAGTCAAAACTTCACTCAGAATAAAGAAATTTGAATGAAATGTTTAATACATTCATTTTTCATTATCTATTTGTGAACAACAGCCAGCTCTTTATCTATATCTTACATAATGCATCTTTAATATACACAAGATATAACTCTATGGAATACAATAATGCATCTTTAATATACACAAGATATAACTCTATGGAATACAATAATGCATCTTTAATATACACAAGATATAACTCTATGGAATACAATAAGTATTTATTACAGAGTGATATTTCAACTCCCTAATAGTCAGTTATTGTGTTCCAATTTGAACACAACCAACTGACACCTTTTTTGAACTGATATTCCATGATATTGTAGTTTGCAAAGGATTTCAAATGATGTACAGAGACTTTAAAAATAAATATATGTGAGATTTAATATTAATTTAATTTGTACTCTAAAAATATGACTAAATTTACTAATAATTAGCACATGTAACAATCATACATACTACATGTACATACACAAAGTAAGAGTTCACTGGAAATTATAAAGAGGGTAATACTACATGTATATATTAAATAATACTTCAAATAATTATCAAAATATTTTTGATTTTATACTATTTTGCTTAAAAATAAATTATACAGATTTTTTTATTTTAAATATTTACAATTTCTCATTCATCTACTGGTAGTTATCTATTCACAATAATCACATGCAGGATATAAACAAACATTTGGCCTTAATCTTAATTCAAAGCTATCAAACTGAATTCAATCATCATTATCAAACATTCGTTTCAATTGTTTATTAAGTGTGAATATTATATATTCACAAACTTGACTTAAATATTAACACAGTTTATATTATGAAGACAAATACTCTAATCTAACAAGATCAATGGCTTGATTTGGAATCGTTTTCATAAGGAAGACATTGAATCATCGATGCATAGATTTTGAAAACCTGAGTCTTTTGCTAAATGTATTAAATGGTGCTAGCAAAAAGCTTCATTATCTGGCTGGATTTTGATCATAATTTGGAAGATCATTTGAACTTGCTGCTTTTCTCATTGCATAGATACCGCTCAATTCATCTCCTATAGTTCTTAAGACACGTCCACATGTATGGCACTGATACTGATCACCAATGGAACGCAATAAACGACCTGATATTGTCATTCTGTGTTGATGTGCACTGACAGGTCTATCATGTGCATTTCTAACGTGTACTGGGTGCTGTAAAACTGGCATCTGTGGTGGGGTTTGTAATTCTATGGATGGTATCGGTACTTGATTCGATTGTGTGTTATTTGTGTTTGATTGGGTTTCATGGGTATTTTTGGAAGGGTTGTCCTTGTTTCCACTCATGTTTGTTTTCACAATCTCTTTATTTTCTGTTTCTAAACCCATATTATGAGATCATAGATCTGAAATTGAAAAGAAAGGATTTAAATATTAAAATTAGATAAATACTGGTACTGGTATTAATAAATTTTAATATGCTCCCTAAATACAATCCATTATTACTAATAGTCAATTGAAACATAATAGGTTAAGGACTAACTATACTATGTGGCGTTAAACTGCATTTAAAGTAAGGCGGAAGACATCAGTAGTGGGACCATTTCTAGTTAAGGTCTTGTAATTTACATAAATGGATTTCTCCATGGAATAGGGAAAAGCTTTATATTCCTATTATTTGGTGTGTAAGATAGAGGCCAAAGCCGATATGAATCTGTTACTAAAGTAACTAGAACCGAGGATGCTGTTTCAACCTTAGGCCTATGGGAACTATAGCACAGGCCGATTCAATATCTTCTGAGGGCGAAAGAGATCTTCCGGTAGAGACAAATAGAGTCAGTCTTTTTAAAACCGGGGAAATTGACACTGTAAATTGTAAGTGACAGTTTTATATTCGCAGCGTTTTATTATAAAGATTTATTTGTGTGATTACTGAGATTACTTGGAATCTAGATCTCAAATCCCCCCACCCCACCCCGTCATTTCCCCAAGGAAGTCACTGTACAGGGTGGGCCGGTCGTCGACCAAATCCATTCATTGAATATTATTCCAATAATGCTGACTGGGGAATGTTCAAAATGATGAATTTTAACTTCATAAATTTCCACTCCAGTCTTATATCAATTCTAAAACTTACCGTTTCAAACTTTCTTGCAGGAAATGTGGTTCTATACTTACACAGAATTAACAACTTTGACTCATAATCGAAACAACAAAATGGGAATTAAGTTGGAAAATAATTTTATTCTTACCTCAAGACATGTACATGTACATTATCTCATTATCTCGGGAATTCCACATACATGTATCCGCTTTCTACCCAATCAAAACGTCACAGAATCTATTTATAAACACCAATCAAGTACGGACAAACAATCACGTGTCTTTCCTGTGTGCGTTGTCGCTTCACATCTCATTGTCGCCATTTTTAGGTGGAAATTTTTGATAGGAGTTATAACTAAATTTATTTTTGGAGTAATTTACCGGTATATAACCGTTTGAGTGAGATGTCTACCAAGGGTATTGGTAATTATTTTCAGAAAGAAACAAATATGGTTTACTCAAAGAATTTATTTGCTGAAATAAGTAAACAGTTTGGTATACTCCCTGGGTCAGAAGGATTGAACAATATCTCTGAAGTTGTTGACGAAACCACACAAACACCGGGAAGTAGTTCTCCACTGGAACAAGTTCGACGAGATGCCGAAATAATTGCACATGATCTACTTATGAACTTTATTGTTGATGAATCTAAAAAAGCAACCAACAGATACTGCAAAACCATGAGAAGAACAGTAAAAGAATTATCTGAACGACATGACCTGTCGTTCAAAGGAATGGTAAACAAACTCAAGGTCGAAGAAACCAGTCCTTTCCAGACTTTTGTCAGTGTAGCAGACGAAATATTTGATGATGGACAAATTAATTGGGGTAGAATTGTGGCAGTTTACGCTTTTGCAGCGCGCCTTTCTAAATATTGCAGAGAAAAAGATTTAAATGAATTTCCAGCTAAAGTTTCCTTATTTGTCGGAAAATATGTGGGAAGCAAGTTAGGGAAGTGGATTTTAGACAATGGTGGATGGGTAAGGAATGATATTATCAGTCTTGCCATAACATTTAAGGGAATAAAGAACATCAGCCGATATTATAAAAATGTTGCGGTGTCAATGTCATTATTGCCAAGATCACAATCTTTCACTTAAAAATTAGTTTCTCCTTTGTATTGTAAGCCTACGAATTACAATATTGACAAGTTAAGTATAGTCAAGTCAGCAGTCCAAAACATCGAGAAAATAAAAGATAGAAGTTTTTGATCAATTGAGCTTTACATACAATCACAATAATTTCAATATGAGTTGAACTGTAGTACTAGTTGAGTAGTATATCTATAGACATAGTAATTTAGGATTTGTATTAAATTTAAAATGTAAGTAAGCTTATTGTTAATAATAGAAGCACTCAAGTAGGCAGGCAACGGTAAAAATTGAACTTAACTCTGCACAACTCTGGTAGTAGTACGAAGGTTCAGAAGATTTGGAATATGTGTTTTCTAATAAAGATTTTAATTAAATGTCAGATGGATGAAATGTGAGATTTTATTTAAAATTTAAATTCAATAAATGATTTGACGAATGGAACTATGGAAGAACTGATTGAGTGTGTCATTGCATTGGAACCATTTATGCTAAGAAGACTTCTTTTTTTCAAGTCATAATTGACCATTAATTTCATGTTGTATTTGCTTGAAATTTAAATTTACTTTTTAACTATTGATCATTTTGGCAAAAATATCTTGGGGGGTCCATATTTTGGTCTCAATAAGTTAATAAATATATTAATTCTCTTTGATAGCATTGACTGGATTATTAAAGGTATCAAGGTGATGTCAAATATTGACTGTTTCTGATTATATTTCAGGATGCTTTTGCTGAATATTTCCCAGATCAAGGTGAAGTAGAAGAAAAAATGTGGAAAGGACTATTTTTTACGGCTGTTGGACTTGGAGCCTTAGCTACAGTTGTTGCAACACGATAGAAAATTGAACACTGTGATCAATGAATTAAAAACTGTTCTATACCGGTTAGAGATCTGACGAAATTCAATATGTGACTGATAGATAAGTGTGAAAAGACCTGAAGCAAAGAAAGATACTAATATACTTCCTGGTAGAAATCAACAGACCAAATCAGAATATTAAAATGTGAAATTCCCTTTCTATTTTTATGACTAGCACCGGTAGTAGGCATTAGGAGAATATAAAATAGGACATATTCTTCTATGCGTCAACAACTGTTACTTTTTCAGTTTCGATTATGGTTTTCATTAAAATAATAGAAGAATACATATAACTAAATAATTCTGGTTTATCTGTTATGAGTACAATTGTTTGTAATACTAATTCTAGGAGATAATTATACGCTTATTTCTTTTGTTATTTAGCACTTTTTAACACCAGATACAATGTATATGTATGGTCTTTTATTTTCAGTTTCACAATAATTTTCGTGGTATGAGGTTGAATGAGTGTATGTTCGGAATGGTTGAAAAATGAAAGTATAGTGTTATTTTTTAAATATATATTTTTTTTTATCCATTTTAAATTACCAAATTTGAATGTTGTCAAGACTGGTTTCATTTCGAGAAGTGTTGAGAATTATTATAAATCAACACATCATTATTTATTTACTACATATGTACACTATGCTCTGATACACATTCATTATATTTAATACGTTATGTACGAATGTGTGGTCAGTCATATATGATGTTGTACGTCGGTATGTAGAATTGTCAATAGAACGCTTTGTTTCAATGTGTTTGTTGTTCAAACTAGACAGATGATATTGTATTAAATGGATTCAGGGTTGAATTTTCCCAAATCCATCTATATATGACGTAAAACCATGTATGTGTGTCTTCTAATTAGTTGACCCGTAAATGGCTTATATTTTTTAAAACTTGAACATTTCTTTGACAATGTACATGTAGCTGTTTGTTAAAGTGATATTTGTTGGTTGTTTCTATAGGAAGTAATAAGGTAATATCTGTTATTAAATGTCGGTTTATAATTAAGTAGTTAATGGATTGTAAAGCCGATGTAAGGAGAACTATGTGTTGGAATAGTGATTGATTGTGCCAATTAATTTAATATGTACTGCTTTTGATATTATGATGGTTTTGTGAAATCTGTGAGATGTTTGTTGGATGTTAATGTTTGCTGGTTAATGTGAACACATGTTAATCTGAAAATGAGGGCAAAGCAAACTGTGAGTTGGTTTCAAAAGTTGATCATATCTGATTTTCTCCTATAATATATGTATATGTATGTAATAATAATCATCTGTACAATTTTCTTTTCATTTATAATACTGTTGTAAATATCCTATTTGAATAACATCATATAAGTAGATTTATATAAAGTATGGCTATGATTTATAGAAGACCCTTAATCACAAAGACTTGAAACTTTGCTACATATATATGAATTTAGTTATATAACTTATACTTATTAATTGTAGTACATTGATTATAACTACAGATTCAGATTCCACTTTCTGTGTACTTCATAATCAAAGTGATATAATTATTTGTATATTGATTAATTATTATATATGTATAACCTATGTGTACCATGAGTACGAATAAACTATTATTATTATTATTATTATACTTATCTAAAGTATACATAAAATAGTTTAATAACCACTGATTACACCCATCTTATCAAATAAAAACAGCTATGGCTTCAAATTAAGTAGAACACAATGGATAGTTAGGAAGGCTTCGTATTAAATTGATTAATGAAGAGGCTTGACTGTCTTCGAATAATAATTCTGATCAGTTATCTAGGAAGTTAAATAGTGTTGTGTATGTTAATAAGATTTGTGGTATATGTTGCGTGGATAAGTTCAGTCATGAGTCTTTAGTTTTAATTAACATCTTCCTGTTACTAGAATATATTTGCTCTTTTTTCTCTATGGAGAAATTTGATGTGTATTGATAGGACAAGAGTCTTATTCTTGATGTGAATAGTTTTAATTGTTGATCCCTCAGCTCTACAACCCATTAAACCAGGTCTGTTCAAGTAAACATTGGAGAGTGCTAGGGGTCTGTGCAATAATAAAGTGTAAATATGATCAAAATTCATGTCTTTTGTGTTTTTCTTTATATCTGTATGTTAATTTTTCTTTGGGTACTTTCAAAATGGTTTATTTGATTACATGTAGATCTAATGGGCAGTTGAAAGTCAATGAATTATTTCAAATCACAACATTTATTAAAATTTCAAAGCTGGAAATTTGAAATGGAATGGTTAAGATCGAATATTATTTTGTTCAACATCTACATATATGAAAGAGAACATTAACCACCACTGAATAGTACAAGGTGATACGCAAATATATTTTTAGCTGGTGACCAGGAATCAAGAGAACTGGAAGCATGAAATAGCCCACTGATCAGCAGATATGTAAAATAAACTGACGAGTCACTAACGACATCCAGTAGACGCAATTTACGCTAGTGCCGTGCCTTTATTTATGAAACGAGATGTACTCATATATGTAACTATAGGTGTACCGACTGAATATAGTTGTACACGCCACTATTTAAAAGGCTACACGCTTGACCGAGTTTTGATGAAAAGCCGCATATATATATATACTACGTACATATATTGAAATCACATTTTTTTAAACGGTGCAATTTAATGTGGGCGGAAGAATTTGAGACTGGATAAACCGGTGTTAATGGTATTGATTGTCTCGTGTTATAAACCGGATTTGAGCGATCGAAATGATGAATCATAGTTATAAATAGATTAGATTAGAAAACGTCTATCACGCAATTCCCATATTTAATTTTAACATTTGGAATCATTTTTAAACACATTTCCCATAAAAAAAACACCAAAAAATCTTTAGCCTAAAAGTTTATCTCGAGGTTTAGAATTTAAGAGAATACCATTCTTGTGTTTCAGATTTTATTTCCAAAACCCATCTGGCATCATTTGAATTAATATACTCCTACTCTATCCAAGTTCTATATATGAATAATTATGTACCAAGGAGATAACCAAATGTAGCTTTCGGCGTAGTTCCCCGACAGTGGGGCAACGTGTGGTCGTTCTAATGGGACGGAAAGCCGACGTCCCATGTACACATTGGCGTGCACGTAAAAAATCCTATGGCCGTTGGAATTTGATATAAGAGTAGGCCATAGTGTCGCCGCCGGACAAAATTTCCCTCGTAGCACACTGGGCGACCTTCGGTAGCCTAATAATTTTTTCACGACTAGTGGTCGGAACTAGAAACCGAACGCTAATGGTCTGGACCATCGACTATTCAAAGATGACTGCCCCCAGGGTCGGGCAATGAAAAATTCGACGACCTTTTTTTTCTATTAACGTTTAGAGAAAAAATATAACTAACTTATTTCTACGAGATCCACACTGCCCGAAAAGTATTTTCTCGTCTTTTTCTTGTCCACTGCATATGCCCGAAGCTCTCTTACGATAGGTATGCCCGAAATTAGGTATTGCCCGAAAAACGGGCATCGGGCCGGAAAGTGGCAGAGGAAACTAGCAGTAAAACGCGTTTGCGACCGTCAAATATTCCAAAATTTTCTTGGCGGGTCATTCGCCTCTCAAAGAAAACCGGCGCCGCTGTCTATAAATCCGAAATTTTTCGGGCATTTCTAGTTTTGCTTTCCTAACTGTCACCGAGCCCTAATAAAACACTAATTTTACTTTTCTTGTAATTGAATATCACGAATTTGTACTGAGTTGACTATGGATTAAAACATTTTGTCTGGAGCCACTCTACTTTGTGCGACATTTTTCAGGCATCGATTATTATTTGTGAATGCAGATGCAACAGTCTGATTGGATGGTTAGAATTCAGAGTGGGATTTCAGTTACAAAACCATTGGATACTTTTGGAGTTGCTTACACGGGCTAGAATAGCAGAAAACGCATTTACGGTGATTAAATTTTCAAATTTTTCTCCGGGAGGGTGAGGCCTTCATATACCGCGCGACGATTGATTGGTTGTTTGGAATTCGGGTCAGCCAGGTAGGCTATATTGGACCAAATTGACTGGAATAACAGGAAAACGCGTTTGCGGCAGTTACATTTTCAAAATTTTCTCCCAACGGTCCCGTCTTCGTTGACTGTGAACGATTGATTGGGATTCGAGTCAGCCACCTTAATAAGGCTATAATAAATATTTGACCACTTTGAAGTTGCTTTGTTCACCGGCTGAAATAGCAGGAAAACGCGTTTGCGACAGTTAAATTTTCAAAATTTTCTCCTAACGGCCCCGTCTTCGAGGACTGTAAACGATTGATTGGAATTCGAGTCAGCCAACTTAATTAGGCTATATTAGACCGCTTGAAGTTGCTTTGTTCACTGGCTGAAATATTGGGAAAACGCGTTTGCGGCAGTTAAATTTTCAAAATTTACTCCTAACGGTCCCGTCTTCGAGGACTGTAAACGATTGATTGGAATTCCGAGTCAGCCACCTTAATTATTAGACCACTTTGAAGTTGCTTTGTTCAACGGCTGCAATAGCAGGAAAACGTGTTTGCAGCCGTCAAATATTCCAAAATTGTCTTTGGGGGAGGGGGGGGGGTATACAAGGTCGCTGCTGTCTGTAAACCCGAAATTTTTTCGGGCATTTCGGGTTCTGCCCCCTAACTGTCATCGAGCCCCTACGCGCATGCCCAGTCCGGCACTGCATTTGCACATCTGTCCGTCGCACTTTTTTGGACACGATAACTCTTGAGCAAGAATGTTGGACATTTTCTGCCCAGGTTAAGAAATTTGATTGGTCAAGACTTTTGAGCTCTACTTTTGATTCAAATTGGGAGTGGGAAAACTTGGTGTAAAGTTTTATTATCACCCAATAAACACATTGTAGGCCTACAGTAGATATCGCTTGTGTGATAACTTTCATAATCTACTGAGCCATATCTCCTAAAAGATCGCTTTACTACTATAAGATTCCCTATTTAATTCAATACCGCAACTAACTTGGAGGATAAGAATGTTCTGCTTCAAAGCCAAGCATGGGCTGTATTTGATTGCTCGCGACCATGGGATATATAAACAGTAACCCGTCTTCTTATTGCGATATGATGTCCATCTTGGTGCAGGCATTTCATGGTGCACTTATAGTCCATTTTAGACACCTACCTCATGGGTTTCCCCCGATTGCCCCCCCCCCCCTCCTCCCCCACAGCTAAATAGCCCGGCACAAGCGAATTATTGAAATAAGATAGAACCATACATGTAACAAGTTAGTCCGAAATGACCTGGTTTGTGAACGTTAATTCCCCTTTCTGTCACTCGTACTGTTGTGTATGTATGCTAATCTTATCGTGCACATATATGGTAAATTTATATGTAATATTATCACTTCGGTGCGATTTGAATAAACATAAGGTATCTTTAAAGTTTAGGGGAGTGATAGACCAACCTTTCCGATCATCACGATTCGTCATATGTAGATAACACTAGGGATAGGGGTAGCGACAGCTTTATATCAAAGAAGCCACAATAGGGAGCGATCACTGATCTATATTTGGGATGACTCGACACTGACACATATAGATTATAGATAGATATATTTTATTTATTAGGCTACCTAACTTTTATAATATAACTTGCCGAGTTAGTTATATGCATGACGAATTCGCATAGTGTGTCCACTGTCATTCGGCCGTATCAAACATGTTTGATATATTCGTCCGAATTTTCACCCGGCCGAATTATATTCGCTTATAGTGTGTCTGCTTCGCCGAAACATTCGGCGGATTGTAGAATTCATGAGACAATCACCACTCATCATCCAATCATATCGAGAAGTCACGTGAATGTAAGAAGACATGGTCGCCGCCATGCCATGTGACGTGAAAGGTGACGCAATCGTGAATCGAGCCAAGAATTCGCCCAGTGTGTCCACCCATTCGACCGAATAAAATTCGACGCCGACTGATTCGGCCGAATGATACGGCTAATGTGTCCACCCCTTTAGGCATAATATCAACATAGTTCTTTCAGCTTTCACTTTCTTCTGTCTTGATAATGAAAACTTTCTCGAAACTGTTAAATGAATAATAAAACAAGGCTCTTCATTTGAGAAAATAAATATTTTATTTCAAACAAATATGTATTTACATTATATTATTCTATTTCCTAACAGAAAGCAAACATTTACAGATATTGAGTTATTCAGTGTGGGATAAAGTATGATACTGAGGTTATGCTGGGAAAGAGAGACTGAAGACAATAACCACCGTCGAGGACTTTATCTTGCTTATAAACCAACCGCCTATGTTTACATGTAGGACTACGTAACAGAATATACCAGAATTCTAATAAGAAAAACCATATATCATGTTTTCTTATGCCCCCCCCCCCCGCTACCCTGGAAGAATAACCCGTTACATGTTTAAAACTTTCAGAAGAATAACCCCAAATTCCCCTGCATATATTCAAAGCCGCCCGACATTCAGACCGCAAGTTATGCCGGGCATAGAATATTCCCCAAAGATCAAAGAGATTTACCGTTATAGGTTTATAATCGGTGATAATCAAATGTTCGACGGTCGAACAGAAGGGTAAAGAGCGGTAATAAGTAATAATACATTATGTTGTGCGCTATCATCCTATATATACCCGATCTTTTCAGAAAACATAATTTCAAAGTTATATAGGCCTATTCCCTAGGCCTAATAATAAAAGGACGCAGTCTTTACTAACTTAAACCTAATCAATTACTGCTAATCATTATAAAATAGGTGCATCATTGACGTCAGATGAATATTAATTAGGTCTATTATAATTTATAAGCGACTTTACTCCAGATGTAGCCCAGTCATTTATTAATCCATACAATGGATATTAACAGTAGGCTAATTAATTTTGCAATAATATATAAATTTTATAGGACATTAGGTTAAATCAACTAAATAAAGTACAATGTACAGATTTTGATGGTGTCATTAAAGTCAATAGTTATTTAGAATTCAACGGCATGTTCACATAATAATAATGGCTGTGTTTCGTTGATCAGAAACGAGAGACCTGAGGACTGCCGTCAAGTTGTAAAACATCAAGCACATTTTGGATACTGGCAGGAGTATGTCACAAGAAACACAACGGGGTAGACACGCTCTTATATTAACTGAGTTGCCGAAAATTGCCGAAAATTGCCGAAAGTGCTACACAGGTAAAGTTAAAACAAATAATTTCGGATTTAGTTTTTTCTAGAACTTGATTCCAACTTTAGGTTTATGGGGTCTTGGGCCAAAATGGCGCTTCCCTGTTCTAGGTCGCTCTCCGAGAGTCCACTTCACCTTTTGCTGAAAGACAAATTCAAAGTTTAAATGATTCTGTACATTTTATTATATTCATATTTAAACACAAAAATGAAATGAAATGGGGTTTTACGTGCAAATTTTAGGACCCAATTGAGCTAATGGAGATAGGCATTAGCCAATAGATATCCTGTGCGAGAAATTGTGACCGGTCATCCGCGCATTCGCCTATTTTTCTTCAAATTCTGACTTCCAATAGTTGTTTTACGAGACATTGACTTTCGTACCAACCGAACGACTAGCTGAATTTCCGTCAGGCATTAAACACCCAAAAATGGATATAAATAGCCGACAAGATAACGCTATACAATAAATACATTTCAATTGGTAGAAATATATTCTTTGACACTTTCTTATTAAAAAAAAACCTTACCTGATAGTCAAACTCTTTTTGTTTCATCAATGTTCTTTTTCTATAACACTGAAAAATAAGATTAAAACAAATTGGGTTTAGTTTGTATTTAATAAATCAAAAATTTGTCATGCAGATGCCATGGCAGTTACAATTAAATGGGAGGGGGATGGGGGTATCCATAAAATATAAGACACAATATAGAGGGGTGGGGGTATCCGTAAAATATAAGACCATATATATATATAGTTTGAATTCAACTAGGTCTTGTTGCTGCTAGATTAACCGTGTCTTCCCTATTAAGGAATCCCTAAACCATAGGCTACTGTTTATGCACGTATTTGTTCACATAAATATATTTAAATGTTTCAAAAGAATTAGAATAATTTAATTTTCTAATATTTAATGTGATACCTACCCTTACAACCATAGCAACAACAAAACACGTCTGCATAATAATATAAATAACAAATAATCCGGATAACATGACTATATCTAACTGTGCTGCCACCCCAGTAAAACCTTCAAATGCAGGAACCAATGCATGCCAAGCACTTACAACAAACATAAATACTATACACATCAATATATAAATATCCTGAAAAAAACCCCCAAAAAGGTTAATTAAATTTATTAGTTTAACGGTAATATTTACATTTTTCACAATAAAAGAAACAAATTGATCCGTTAATAAGTTTTAAATTAACTTAAACATACATTATGCAAGAGTTAAATCTGCTTATTGCAGGTCTTTCTTTAGGCCTGAAATGTTATCTAAATTATTAATTAGACATTAATTAACCTATCCAGACCATAATCAACTCTAGATGGCATCGCTAGCCTCCGATCTTAAGTGGACTGTGAGCCGATTTACCGCATAACTTTCCTTCTCGATCAAACGGTTAAGTGGATAATCGAGACTATGCTGTTTATCGTACTGATTTTTGTAATGATGACCGAGGCTAGGCAGAAATTTCATTCGCTTAGTTCTCGGTTCATAGTGAATCAATTTGAATGAAATTTTCAGCAAATTGCCTTTACGTTATCTAATTTTTAATTGTTATAGTGAGAACTGCCAAATCGTTATCGAATCTCCCATAATGTATCTTTAACAATACAGTATTTTAATGAAAACTGGGACATCATAAATCAGCCAATTCTACAATGAAATCATAACAACACTAAACTGGGTTTCGTTGGACAGAATAAAGAAATATGGGGAAACAACACAACATTATGAAGTGTTCAGGTTTCCAAGTTCTGATGTTGGCCTTCCTATTTATCTATAGTGTTCGCACCCTGCTCTTCCAAAAAGAAGTTAGGAGGAGTTTGACAAGATGGTCGGCATGGTTTGGGTCTTAGAAAGGACCACCATACAGATCAAAATTGAGAGAACATAAAACAATCTTGGGTCAATTCAAAAATGTCTAACAAGCTATGCGATTTGTGATTGATGAACTTCCCATGTGGTTAACAAGCTTTCATCAAATCACTCGTGACTGTGCAGTTATCTAACGTAGTCAAGGTATCAGGCACTTGGCACTTATTAAATGGTTACAGTTAGAAGTTAAATGATGTCTTACCAGGTGTGTGAGGTAGGATATAACAGGTAATGACCTATTTGCCACCAATTTAAAGGTCACTGAGGTTAAGATTAAGGTGAATGCAAGTTCTAAACGTGTTTCATGTTGTCTTCTATCCACGGAAAACGTCGCCATTGACAGCAGACTAATAAGAAACTGAAATTTAAACAAACTAATTTTTATAAGTAAGAAAGATACATCTGTTCTAGAATCAGATATTTACGAAAGCAGTTATTTGTTAGAAGCTTTTCTGGCGTGGTTCCCCTTTGTCAGTGGTGCAGGACGGGGACCTGGCAAGGGACAATGTATAATCGTTCGTTCGGCGTGCACGTAAAAGAACCCTTGCCAGTTGAGGAGAAGGCGAAAACACCGCTATCCAGACACAATTTCCTCCGTATTCCCGTCTTCATTGGTACAAAAAAGGAGGAGATTTGGGCCGAGTTCATTCATATATCATTAATGCCTCGTTTCGATTTAATTTGGGGATCATGTGGCTAAGTGGGCAAGACGCTGGCTCGCTAGCCTGGAGGTCGGGTGTTCGATCCCTGCATTGGCCGAGAAAGTTCATCCAGATTTTCGGCGTTGTTCCCCCTTGTCAGTGATGCAGGACGGAGGGCCTGACAAGGACAGGTGTCTAGTCCTTCGGATGATACGAAAACCGAGGTCCCGTGTATACATTGTAATGTACGTAAAAGATCCCTTGGCAGTTGGAATTCGATATAAGAGTAGGCGATAGTGCCGCTGCCCGGGCAAAATTTCCCTCATAGCACACTGTATGGCGTACGCCGTCTTCATTAGCCCAGTATAGGAGCAGAACAGTAGGACGTTAAACCCCATTTCATTTCATTACGATTTAATTTCGCTTCGTTTTAAGTTCATGCAAAACCATACCACGCTAAATGAAAAATAAAGACAAAACGATCTTTTAATATTATTAATAGACTGGGGACCATTCCAGATATAATACACAGCATGTTGAAAAATAAATAAATTACCATAACAACGAGAATGTTCCAGATAAAATATCCAGGTCGTCGAAAGGCACAGCACGTGTAAAACATTCCAGGTCGTTTGTAACGGTTTTCACTATATTCAATAGTGGTAATCGTCGAGCGGCATTCTACGAAATCTCTCATTTCCCATTCTTGGACATCACCGAAGTTGAGAGTGAAGACACTGCTAGCTTCTTCGTGTTCCTCTATCAGTTCTACCGTTGAAATTGGGTGTTCACTAGCTATTAGAACTGATAAATTCTAAAAGAAATAAAATTAAACAATTGAAAACCCACATATACCGTGTTTAAATTACCCATGTTTAAATTACCTCGGTTGGTCCTCACAGTGTCAATGAATATTAAGCAAGATTTGTAAGTAAGTCAAAACGTAAAGGGGAAAGTAACCCCACACAAGACAACCCTTGTATGACATCTGAGCAATTCCATCAGGGTTTTAAAACATACAAACGTCATAATGTAAATGGAAGAAACAAAAAACATTGCTCCTGATAAGTAGTGGTGGGTATTGTGCTAGAGACAGGTTATGCTTATTGGTGGAGTTCATAAAGTTTTGTTTTGTATTTATTACCGGTATGTTCAGATCAACCAGCAAACCAAAAGTATCTCTAAAAGTATTACATTAATTTGTTCACAGGGTTGAAATAAAATGACAAAACCGTCCGATAGCCTATACAGGGAGCCGCTGTAGCTCAGTGAGTAAGACGCTGACTAGCTAACTAGGCGGTCTCGGTTTCGTTTCCGGATTTTGACGAGAAAGTTAATCGGATTTTTCCGGTGCGGTTTCCCCTTGGTGCAAGCCTTGCAAGGACTGTGTCTAGTGGTTCGAATTGTACGGAAAATCAAGGCCCCGTGTACACACCCGATGGCACGTAAAAGAACCCTTGAAAGTTGGACGTTAAACCCCATTCCATTTCATTTCACACACGGAGGGTGTTTAAAATTGCAACGGGCACCACGAATAGCCATTTGTGGTACACCTGTGCACTATCGAGTTTTTACCTGTGTATCGAAAGGAAATTCTTCTAACTCTAAATTTTCAGAAAATGTTCCTTTAACTCGTCTCATTTCTAGAACATAGGCTTCACCATCAGGTCCAATCTGTACATCCCGCCACATTGTTTGTTTTAAATCACCTTTATAATTCTCTATCTGTAAACGAGGATCCCAATATTTACTCCATTTTATATTACTGACGAACTGAAATATAAAACAAAATACGTTATGGAAAATTCATGAACTTTACGATACACCAAAGCAAACAGTTTTCGGTATTGAAAGCATCGGTTGCAACACAATTATTTTAAATTGCAGTTCTTCCTTTTCTGTTGGAATGAAAATAATCTGATCTAGTCAGAAACAAAAGCTGGTGCAGAATTTTTGGATATTGTGTAAATGTGGCATATTTTGTGTGTAAGTTGAGAGGGGGAGGGGTATGCATTTGTATGCTTCTCCGATGGAATTTTTGTAACTAAATATGTTGTGTTCCTTTTAAAATCCGACACACGCTACCGATTTGTAAACAATCAATAGGGTTAAATTTGGATTTATTTCAGGTGTATATTGACTTTGTGAAAATACAGGATACCATACCTGTGCTGAACTGTTATCAAGGCTCATTTCTCTCCATCTTGCTCTTATAAACACTTCTGCCGTAAACTGTTCTTTTAAAGTATCGATGCCCTCTATTTTCAAAAATACCACTTGAATATAAACCTTTGGCTGAAATTTGATTTAGAAATATTCTGTAATTCTTTCAAAAATGAGAGAGGCCACGACTATACCACATTCCATCCCTACGGTTCTCGTACTGGAGTCACAGCTTATCGTCTGTTTAAATGTTGAATTGGAATTAATATATACAGATGGCCAAATGTGCAACAATTCTAACCATTGCCATTTTTGAAAACAATATTTCTTTACTACAAAATTCATGCGATCTAATATCGTTTCGGATTTTTTTCATTCATATTTTAATTTTTGTTATACCACGGTGAGGACTGTGCAACATTTGTGAAGTGGTAGGTTTTACAGCCGAGATCTGGTCGAAATGATTCCGTGTTCCTCCCAATTGTAAGTCTTTATTGTGGACATTAGTATTTTTGGTCTGGCTTGATTCGGTGGCCTCTGTCACTCGGTGAGTAGGGTGCAGAGTCTCTAATCAAGGGGTCTCCGTTTAACCCCCGGTTTCGACCGAGAAAGTTCAGGGTGGGCCAGGGCGGGCCAGGGCGGGCTGCCTGTCGAGTGGATATGTATCCATTCGTTCGGTTGCGTTATTGCACTGTTGGGCCCCCATTGCACACAGTGTCCTCGTTGGTGTATGAATGTATGCACGTCTTAACTATCTCGGTTGATGTAAAAAAAATTAAGTGAAGCGCTAAAAGCCATTTCATATATTTCTGACCTGAAACGCCAAGTGACCCATTTTGTAGGAAAAAAATAACTTACCAAAGCTCTCTTCACTAATGCATGCCCGGCAGCGATTTTCACGGTTGTATTTTCTGAACCTTTCGCTATTGTATTTTCTGACTCGTTTACTGTTGTATCGTCGGCCGTGGTGGCGGGGTCAGTTTTTGAAGCGGTATTTTCAGCCATGGCCGACAGTGACGAGTCCAAGAAAGGTGATCAAATGAGCACAACACACGTTGTCTGTCTTTACCAGTGGGTTCTTAATCAGTTTGTGTTAGAAAATCCCTACACCATGGTGCTAATCCAATAATCTACTATTATGCATTAATCCCCTTATTTCCAAATCTGAATGCACTGATTATTATTATGCAATGCGCCGACAATTTCATAGACAAGGTGTTTGTTATAGGGCATATAACATTTATCAGACAGCATATATAGAGAGTATTACGACTATATACTTATAAATAATCCTATTTCAAATGGGCTATATTTTAAGACAGCACGGAATTCTTTAGTGACTCTCGGTGTTAAATACCCAATATCAAAGAATAAAAAGTAGATCTCATCTTACCAAAGACCATATATCTAAAATTGATCAAAATCGATCATTTTGTAAGGCCATCTAGAATTCACTTTCATTTATATGGAGTCCCGAAATAACCTTGTTTGTGAGGCATGGACGTTAAACCCATATCTCCCCGCGCCATCTGTTTTTTCTCTGTAACAGAGCTTTAATATCGAAAATGGTGTTAAAATCATCTTTCCTGTTTATATTAATGGTCATCGTATTTATAACAAAATGAGATACACGAATGGCTAGACATATTTCGTGAGGTAAAGGTTTGCATTAAATATTACGAAACTATCTTTCCTTGAAATTGTATAGTTCTACCTGAATACAGCTAGGGGGGTTGGATGGCTGAATGGTTAGCGTGCGCGCGCAGTATCATTAAGTCTGTCATTGAGTCAACTGGCGTGGTTTCGATTCCCCAGTTGTACGTGACAAGGAGTAGGGTCGCCTGTCCAACCTCGTGGGTTTTCTCCGGGTCCTCCGGTTTCCTCCCACTGCTAAAGACCCCTACGCGCATGCGAATTATTGAAATAAAATTAAACTATATGTTGGTCCCGAAATGACCTAGTTTCTGTCGAGTTGACGCTAAACCCCATTTCCCTCCCTCCCTCTGAATACAGCTCAAAGTGAAATCATTGTCTATTATTGTCTAAGCTGAAATTATTATATTGCGCATGGGCAATAGTATCGCTAAGCAAGTTCACTCTTGAATCGTATCTATATAAAATGACTATTTAACAAATTAACAGAATAACATGATTTATTTTCTAAGGAATGATGCCACCATCATACCATAGTAACTTGGGTGATAATTGGCGTATAGTTGAGATTGCCAGGACATGATTCCACCAGAACTTGCTGATAACAAACCTTGCAACATGACCAAACCAGTGTATCCACAAGACTTAGCTTTAATAACATAACTAGCAGCTTCCTTTGTTAATGATTGTTCATCCAGATTTTCTACCCATTTTCCACACGCCTGTAAGACAAGTTGGCAATATTTCAGAATACAAATCAAGTTGTGGATTCGAATCCCAGCGTAGGCCAATACAAACATTTTCCTATCGACTATAAATTCCAGGAAGAGATGGTCGAATTTTGTATACAAGTCATGTGATAATCTGTACTTAACAAAGTCTGTGACTGTTAGCTTAAGTCCAGACTTGCCGACCTCATTTATAACTTTCTGAATACTGGTGATAAAATCTAGGTTACTCACATCATCGAATGGTTGAGCTGCATCTGAATAACCATAAGGACCATCTTTAGAGTGAGTATGAGCCAGATCAGCACTAATAATGACTACAGCTGTTTTCTTTTTACTTTCAAAGTATTTTCCAATATCATAACCTACAGGAAATGTGCAAACTCGTCATATTATATTGTTTTTATCTTCATTACGAACCCATTTGGTCATGTTCTCTGAGAAGTTTTATCGGGGTTTTCCGGCGTGGCTCCCCCATGTCAATGGAGCAGGACAGACTGCCTGGTAAGGGATAATGTATAGTCGTTAGGGTAGAACGAAACTCTTGAGGTCTAGTGTATACATTCGTTATGACTCACTATAAAATCGGATTCACTTTCATATAATTGAAATGAAATGTGGTTTAACGTACTACTGTACAGTACCGACTATGGGTTAATGAAGACGGACATACGGACATATGATGAAAATTTTGCCCGAACAGCGGCACTATGGCTTACTCTTATTTCGAATTCCAACTGTCAAGGGTTATTTTACATCCACGCCAATGTGTACACGGGACCTCGGTCATTCGCCCTATCCGAACGAACGACACGTTGTCCTTTGCCAAGCTTTCCGTCCCGCAACACGGACAAAAGGAACCACGAATACCCCCCCCCCCAAAAAAAAAACCCACCGATGAATTTTCTAGGCTGAAATGGGATAGAACACTGTACTTCCAGGTTAGCGAGCCAACGTCTTACTCTTTCACGTTTTTAGCTGCGCGTATTGAACAAATATGACACGGCCTAAGGATTCTCAATTCTCGGAAATCGTTGGTTATAGGGCAGATAATCAGAAAGTGTCTTTCCCAGGAAAGTCGGCGTATGTATATTTAAGCACTTCTGTCGTGGTCTCAATTCTAACAGCCTTGTTAGAGGTAACAAAATCGTAGATTAATTCACAAGAAAAGTATACATTAAATTACATAGGCGTACGAACTCAACGACAGTTAGGGGGGGGGGGGGCGGAACCCGAAATGCCCGAAAAAACTTTAGGGGGGCAGTTGCCCCCAATCCTGCCCCCTGGCTGGTACGCCTATGTAATAAATTATACTCTATCATATATTAAATGCAACTCCTGGTTTGCTTGTTATACCTAATTTCAACAGTTCGGGAATCATCGTTGGCATATCATCATTGTATCGCCTACTTGGCTGAGACAAGATAACCACTTTTGTTTGATTCAGGTTGGGCATAAAATGAAGAGGTATAACTTCACCCCATCTATAGGCAAAAAGAAAAAAGAGAAAATTTATTTGGAAAAAAAACGACTCTGTGAATTAAGTTCCAAAACATGCTAATCTTAACGGTTTATCTAAAGTATAAAATACAATTTTCAGTCCAAACATTTTTTGAAAAAAACAAAACAAATAGGCCTACATATAATTTATTTTTGAACCTACTTGCCTTAAAGGAAATGGTTCTGTGCTTTCTTCTGGTGGACCATAGGCACTTAACCCAGAAACGTTTCTCATAGAACCAAAGTGTTGAACAAGATCCCCGGAAATATGCACATCTGAATTTACTGATAGAGAAACATAAGGAGGTGGTCCCGTATTGTCGGTATTTGCATAGCCTTCCATCTTAGGATTCAAATAAAATAAGAAATTATTTATATCTGATATGCCATGCGGTGTGCTGAGTAGAATGAGGTCCGGTTGTAGCTCATTAACACTACTTCCAATCTGAGCACACGCAGTGTGGATCTTCCAAGCTTCCTCTAGTGCCGTTTTGTTAGTGGTGTGGAACTTGGAAGGATCCAAGGCAATGCCACCATGTGGCATAACAAACGCCCCTTTTATCTCACCCATCACAAAATCTATGGTAATAGTCAAGGTAACTAATACTGCAACTTCCGCTGATTTCATGGTTATAATTCTTTAGACTATGACAACACATGGCCCAGTTTTTATCTTTTCATTGTAAAGATTGGTGAGTGAAGGGAAGCAACTCCAGTTTTAAAAAAAAAAAAAAATGAAAACGAAGAACGCTGGCTGTCCTAGCTGCCAGGAAGAACAATATATTTTTACAAGTATTACAGTTTAAGATGTATTATTTAGCCTGTGGGATAATCACAACGTTAGATCTCCGATTTAGCCAATTACCATATTAAGAAAAACGATGACAGCAAATTAATGGTTGTTCAGTCACGTCAGGACAAATAAATTTACTGGACAGGGGGCGTAGCGGTAGTTTTGTTTATAATTTGCTGACAAACACGTGTTGTAAGAATTGCACAAACATCATGAAACAGACCTTGAACCATGTATATAAACTGCTTTAATCATTGCAACTGTTAATGTCATAATTGTACGACATGACACTGCTTATCTTTCAGGTACCGTACATAATATCATGGGTAGATAAGAAACCTACACCAGTATATCTCATCTAAATAATATTGTTATGGACTTTGGAATTAAATAATAAATAGAGGATATTTACGCATGAGTGAAAATATAAACGTTTTCTTGCTTAGAGATGAAAAAAAATATGTTATTCACGACAAAACGACAAATGTTCTATTTATTTTATGATTTTACAATCATTTTAGGTAAAAACAACATGGACTTACTGCTAGCCAGTGGAATAACACTTTTATTTCACTGATAAAACGCGGTATTCCACTACTGATCATAAAATAAATTACTGTATTGTATTGTGTCCTACGTTTGAACTTGCATATACATTTTGATGTAGGCCTATGTTTGATGCTTGATGAGCAGTGCCATAATTGTAACTTAGCTTGACACTCTCTGCTGAACATATTTCTGATAGAAATCGTTTTCGTTTTCATACACCGATTCGAGTCGTTGTCTTTATCCTTTCCCCATTGCAGTTTCTTGTGAACATTCCTCATATTATTCTTGATTGCAAATTGATTTCATTGATATAATGAATAATGATAGTTAATTATCTTTTCGGGCATATTTTGACATTGAGTTTATGAATGAAATATCAGAAAGTTCTTAATGGGAATTTTAAAAACATTTATGGGAAATGGCATGCTCATTTAAGATAATTTAAGTTTAGGTTGAATTTGGTAGGGTATTATAACTAATTTAGTAATTTTACCAAAAGAGAACTTTAGAATTTTTGATTGCAAATGGAGTTATATTGTCCTGTTCAAATTTTTGAAATCTTATTAACATGGTATGACAGAAAATTCTTTAACATAATTTGGTGAGATTGTTCATATTGGGGCATAAGGAAGCAAGAATCTATTTTCAAAATTTAAATAAATTTCAAGACTGACGAATTAACTCCTTTACCTTACTGAAAGCATAGGTCTACAGCCGGTGAAGGAATCACTTGTGACGGTAAAAACCAAATGAATGTAATGACAAAGCTGTTAGTGGGTGTCACTTAAATTATCTTTGTCGACATTGTACTGGTTTCTTGCAATATTGGCAATAAAAGTTGCAGACCACTATCAGATGATTACATCATTATTATAGGCCAGTGGCCAGCATGCCTAATCCGGCCCGCCAGACCCTTCCATTACATCTGAAAATTTATGAGTAATTTTATCTCTAAATGAAAAAAAAAAATCGAAATTGCTTATTGTTGGGCCCAAACTCTAAACAGGCGTTACTCTCTGTAGGATCAATTATCTTTGTAGGTCTATTTATAGCCTGCAGCATCACTCAGTGATGTGTCACTTGACATGGGCCTACTTTCATTTTATGTTATTGTTTGATTTATTGACATGCTTTGATATTTCTCTGAATATAACTATGAAGCAGAATAAAAAGAGCAGAATAAAAAGCGCAGAAAAAGTGCTTTGTTCCTTTTTACTTTATTCAATAACATCGAGGATATTGATGACCATATAATTAATGAACGTTGATTGTATTAACGGCTTGAAGAATGTTACATGTTTAACACTACCCCAGATTTATAGAGATTAACTATGGAACTCTGCTGTTTATTTAAATCAGTGTAGCGTTTGTTATTGTTTTAATCCTTATATTTTATTCAGTGTATAGTTCTTCCAGTAGTTCTGTGATATACTGTTAATCTAATAAAACCTTCTTATTTTGTAGATGATGTAGATTTAACAGAAAAAGAATATTAGAAGAAAGTAAATTAAGAATAAAAACTATAAAAAAGAGAAATGAAGATTATTTATGCAGTTTTTTGTTAATGAATTGTTAAAAATTAACAGCCATGTCAGACTTTGAAAGCATTATAGAAAAACTTCGACCTTTTGGTCCATATCAAATCCGTGTATTTATGCTTGTGTCGTTATTTGAGACACCATTAGCATGGGCCATGTTATTACCCATATTCACGTCTGCGCGACCTAGCTGGACATGTGATGGTCCAAACTTTACTAATATATCATCAAATTTAACAATATCAAATCAAAAAAATATAAACAGCTGTACACCTAGTCAAGATGTCTGCAGTGGTGTGAATTTTTCAAATGAATTTACATCTATTATTACTGAGGTACGTAAATCTATATTGATTTTCAACAAACTGAAAATTTCAGTCAAATTGATCCACTATGAACCAAGATTTTAGCGATTGAATTTTCGGCCTAGCCTCGATCATCATTACTAAAGTCGGCAGGATAAAAAACATAGTCTCGATTATCCATTTCATGATTAAATTATGAATGGATCCTAATCCAATAAACATCGCACGCTAGCGATGCCAACAGGAGTTGATTATGGCTTGGATAAGTTAATCAAACATACATTATGCAAGAGCTAAATCTGCCTATTGCAGGTCTTTCTTTAGGCCTGAAATGTTATCTAAATTATTAATTAGACATTAATTAATCTATCCAGACCATAATCAACTCTAGATGGCATCGCTAGCCTGCAATCTTTAGTGGATTATGAGCCGATTTACTGCATAACTTTCTTTCGCGATTTAATGATTAAATGCATAATCGAGACTATGCTGTTTATCGTACTGACTTCAGTAATGATGATCGAGGGTAGGCGGAAATTTCAATCGCTTAGTTTTCGGTTCAAAGTGGATCAATTTAAATGAAATTTTCAGCGAATTGCCCTTACATTATCTAGTTTTTACCTATTATAGTGAGAACTGCCAACTCGTTATCGAATCTCCCATAATGTATCTTTAATACATGTAGTTTATGAAGAAAAACCTCTCTGATTTTTTTCAGTGAATGGAAAAGCACTTTTCATTGGTCACTGTTATCAGTTTGTTGTTGATGAATTGTTATAATAATTAGCTAGAAACTGTGCAAACCTGTCCCAAAAAAGTTATTGCTTTACAAGATCAATGTGAAATGTAATAAAATGGGGTTTAATGTCCTACTGGGCTAATGAAGACAGGGCATACACAATGACTGAAATTTACAAAGACTAAGTGTTTCTGCCTAGTCTTCCTCAAATTTCAACTGTTGGGGGAACTTTTGGGTGCACAACAACAAATGCACTGCTGGCTGTCATGTTTTTTCCTGTGCCATGTGCAGGTGAATAATGCCTAGTGTAAAGTGTTTTACATGTGGCATAATTTCTTTAATGATTCAAGAACTCCAGATATGTTATATTATTATGCATCTTATTTCAGTGGAAACTAATATGTAATAATGATTATATTCCTGGTCTCATAACATCGATACAGATGGCAGGGGTAATGGTTGGCGCTATTATCACTGGACAATTAGCTGATTACTTTGGTCGGCGTAAAATTTTATTTCTTGAGTATGGATTGTTAATTTGTGTGTGGTTTGCGAGTGCATTTTCTAATTCATGGGAACTTTATACTGTACTTAGATTTGTTATTGGAGGGTTAGTTGGAGGTAAGTCATAAGCTGTTCAGATGTAATTCGTTTAAAAACTGCACAAAGAAATAATCAGACTTATTCTATCCACACCAATTTACTATCTCATCTTTGATTTAAAGAGGAATTTTTATTTTAAGAAAGAAATAAATACTTTTGAATAATATCCCATTCCAGATAACCCCACACTGATTTAATTATCACAAAATTCTAAAACTAATCTACTTTAAGTAATGAATGTCTCATAAGCATTCAACAAATTGTGTTACTAGAATTTAAACTGTGTACCGTACATCTTTGTGATGGTTGCCCAGATTTGTTTCAAAATGTGCATATAATCTAATTTAAACATATCTGGTGTTAATGCTGTAACTGTTTAGTTAAATCAAGGCCAAAACTACTAAATCACTTAATGCCTTGTCAAAAGTCAAAAGTTTTTCATAATTAATGTTTCTGGTTATATGGCATGATATCTAATCTAAGGACCCAATAACAATACTATTATATACTATACTATTCAAAAAAAGTAGGGGATATTTGATTTTGGGGGCATAATACTAAAATATGCAAATGACTACGAAAAAAGTCACTATAGAACCTAACAGAAGAAACATTTCCAGTTACATGTGACGCCCAAACGCACCAATAGCTACCGCATGGAATGCAGGTGATGCTTGGGATCATCATGGGGGTCCAACCCAAGATTTGCACGACTCTGACTTTGAATGTTACAGTCATTGTGGCATTGAATTCCAGGGTGGAAACATCAGTTTAATTGTTTTAGTGACCAGAAAACAAATTTTGATATGCGTCGGCTTACCCAAAATGAAAGGTTACGTGCCCTTGGCATGCTACAGATCGGCACAACACAGGCAGTTGTGGCGCGGACGATGAATGTTTCTCAGTCTGTCATAAGCAGGCTATGGTCCAGATACCGTGATACACAATCTGTACAGGACAGACCACACTCAGGTCTACCAAGGGCGACAACTCAAGCCCAGGATCGATTTATCCGTACCTTGGCCTTGAGAAATCGTGTCATCACAGCAAATCAGATCAGCGCTCGTCTTCAAACAGACACTGGTGTGAGAGTGAGTGGCCAGACGATTCGGAATCGACTGCATAGGGGTCACCTTCGCGCCGGACGTCCTCGCGTGATCCCTTGTTTGAGAGATCATCACATTCAGGCAAGACGTCGTTGGTGTAGGGATCGTCAACACTGGGATAATCGACGCTGGAGCAATGTGATGTTTTCAGATGAGTCAAGGTTCACTGTTGATTTTTTGGACAGACGTAGGAGGGTGTGGCGTCGTCGAAACGAGCGCTTCCAAGACGTTAACGTCATCAGACATGATCGATTTGGGGGTGGTTCTGTTATGGTGAGGCATCACTGTTGCTGGAAGAACGGCTTTACATGTTGTTGCAGGGCGTGTTACAGGCCAGTACTACCGGGACAACATCTTGGCAGTCCATGTTGTGCCGTTCGCACGACGTCATGGCCGCCGTTTCATCTTCCAGGATGACAACGCAAGATGTCACAGGGCCAGGATCGTTACAGGTTACCTCCAACAACAGAACATCACCACATTACCTTGGCCAGCATTGAGTCCCGACCTCTCCCCCATCGAGCATGTCTGGGACATGCTCGGACAGAGGTTACGTCAACGTCAACAACGTCCTGCCAATGTCCAAGAACTTGCTGCTGCGTTGCAACAGGAATGGGACAATCTGGACCAAAATGACCTTAGACGTCTCATTAGGAGTATGCCACGTCGGATCAATGCTTGTTTGGCAAACAGAGGAGGATTTACCCGTTACTGACTTGGTTGTGATGCTGTGGTAACTTTGCTGTTTGACCCCGGGTATCATTTTACCCTTATAATGGTCAGTCTGTGCCTTACTTAGTCTAACGATCATTTGGAATAAATCGATGAATGTGAACTTCATTTCATTTTGTCATTTGTTTCTTCGTCAGTTTCATTAGGTGACTTTAATAACACTTAAAAATCAAATATCCCCTACTTTTTTTGAATAGTATATAATTGCACAGTGAAATGTCCTAGGAACATTTTGAAACAAGTTCCAAGCTTCTAGGAGGGTCGGATGGCTGAATTGTTAGCACGTGCGCGCTGATCATAAGGCCTGTCATTGAGTCAACTGGTGTGGTTTCGAATTCCCGGTTGTACGTGACAAGGAGTAGAGTTGCCTGTCCAACCTCGTGGGTTCACTCTGGGCCCTCCGGTTTCTTCCAACTGCTAAAGACCCCAACGCGCAAGCGAATTATTGAAATAAAATTATTGAAATAAAATTATTGAAATAAAATTAAACCATATGTTAGTCCCGAAATGACCTAGTTTGTGTCGAGTGGACGTTAAACCCCATTTCTATCTCTCTCTCCAAACTTCTATCTTGGATCTTTTCAGAAAATGATTCTTTAAGTTTAAAATGAATTTCTATGGTAACCAACTGCTTATTTGCCTTAATTTGGCTATTTGAACAATTCGAACACTGCAATATTTATATGATTAGGTTCATATTATGTTTTTGATTAGAAGAAACATGTACCGGTATAGTCATTGAATCATCTTTTATATTTATTACAGGTACACTAGTTGTTAATTTTGTATTACCGTTAGAATTTATAACACCTAAATGGAGAACATTTTGTGGTTGTATTGGGTTTTGGGCTGTAGGACTAGCAACATTAGCTTTATGGGCGTATGTATTACGTGATTGGAGATATCTAACTATGGGTACATCAGCTTCCAGTATATTTCTCCTATTTTGTTGGTGGTGAGCAAGTATTATAATAGTTGTTTCTGTTTTCTTAATAAAGTTATGACCAACAAAAACATCACAACATAGCAATTATCACCCAACAATTAATGTTGTGTCCAGAGGGAGTAATCCCTGATATCACACACCAAACTTGATGTTGTCTCAACCTTTTGGTCTCTGAACACGCCCCTGACAGTGTATGGCACTTGCGATATTTATACTCACATGTAGGATGCTTCAACTTGGTCTTAATTGCTTTCTCCTATTTTTGTTATAGAATAATATTATGAGTCTGATATTTAACGTTACATTCAAGAGCAAGAATATATAACAATAATAACGAGAAGAATATAGCTGTTGCTATGTTTGACACTAAGCACATTTTAAATGATGCAAACCCTAATGTCAAAATGACATGTCACTCTAAGTGTTAGACAATGTGTGAATTAGCGATCTTAACATGAAAGCAAATAGTATAAAACACAATGATAGCATCTGCTAGTATTCAAATTAAATGATCAAAAAGTGGAATACCTGTTGTAATAATTATCTTGATTAATTCATTGTGGGCATTTTATGCAATTTGTATCTATAGTTTTATATTTTCGTGTCATTAGAAATATCGTACTACCTGGTAAAAAGATATAGGTCGAAAAGATGATCTGTTTATTTTGAAAGGAATATATTAGAAATATCATATCATATTTGTATGATAGTCTGTTTTTAACAATAACTAGAAAGTTTAATTTCTCGTTGCTGAAAAATTTTACCAATATCTGTATTGTGTTATTTCAGGTTTGTACCTGAAAGTCCACGTTGGTTGATAAGTCGAGGTAGATTAAAGGAAGCCATGGTTATATTAAATGAAATGGCTGTATGTAATAACAGATCAGCACCAGAATATGATCAATTAAAATCGTGTATGGAGGTAAATTGTTGTTAAGAGAACTATATACATGACCTTAATTAGCTAGCTGATTAGTTGAGGTAACGTTTTTCCTGGCTTACAGATTCAAAAAATAGCATGAAGGAGATAAGTGCTGTAAAGAAAATTTCCCCAAAATACAGAATATCTTACACTGACTCATTAGCTGGAATATATTAAGTATAGTAATAACCTTCCAGAATTTGAGTTAATATACATTTATTATAATATTAGCAAATTGTTTTATATTAGATAGGGGGGTTGGGTGGCTGAATGGTTAGCATGTGCGTGCTGTACCATAAAGTCTGTCATTGAGTCAACTGGCGTGGTTTCAAATCCCCGGTTGTACGTGGCAAGGAGTAGGGTTGCCTGTCCAACCTCGTGGGTTTTCTCCGGTTTCCTCCCACTGCTAAAGACCCCTACGCACAAGCGAATTATTGAAATAAAATTAAACCTTGTGTTAGTCCCGAAATGACCTAGTTTGTGTCGAGTGGACGTTAAACCCCATTTCTCTCTCTCTCTCTCTCTTTTATTTTAGATTGAAAAAAGAAAAATACAAGAACAGAAGAAGTTTAGTTACTGCCATTTGTTTAGTTCATGGAAATTAACCAAAGGAACTCTTATTCTTATGTACAGCTGGTAAGTTTTAAAACAGAAATCCTTAATAGATTTATTGTCAGAATTTACATGTCTTTATGGTTGATTAGGAATCATATGTCAGAACTCCTTATTTTTTTTTTTTATGGTTGATTAGGGATCCTATGTTTGAATTTGGGTAACTACAGTGTTCTTGTCTTGTTTACAATTAGGGGCATGCAAATAAGATCAATGATCTGTCATTGAGTTAAGTGGCATGGTTTCGATCTCATACTGATTGTGACAATGGGTAGGGTCAACTAAATAACTTTGTGGGTTTCTCCAGGTCCTCCGGTTTGTTCCCTTATGCTCAAACAAATTGTTGAAATAGAATGGTACCATATGTTAATTGTGTTGAGTGGACTATAAATCCCATTTCCTTTTCTCTGTATACAATTGTTGGCAATTGTTGGCACTCTTCAAGTGGTTGATTAGAATCTATATTTTTCTGCATTCAAATCTAGCAACAAGCTATATGTACCGGTACCTTATACTGAATATGTTTGACAGTTGTTTGAAAATAAAAAATCAAATTGTTAAAAAACTATTAAATATCAAAACCCTTTCAGTTTCCGAATTGATTTAAGGGTGTGAGTACTGCTGCTAATGAAAAGTTAATTTATATTTTATTCTATAGGTTTGTTTCCAGCTCTGTTTATTATGGTTTGAATTTTAATACGAAGAATCTCTCAGGAAACCGTTATTTAAATGTTTTTATATCTGGTTTAGTGGAAATTCCAGCCCTTATTTTTGTTGTTTTGATAAATAATAAAATTGGACGACGTAAAACGATAGCCATCTTAATGTTGATTGCTGGTACATTCTGTGTGTCTATACTTATAGTAGATGTATTAGGTATGTAATATATTATGTCAACTAAAAATTTGTATTTTTGGACCAGTAATCTTGTTGTTCTTGGTGGTGTGGTGGGGTGCGGTTGGGAATGGGGGGGGGGGGTAATGTATGATCGTCATGCATGTTACTGGGACGATTTTTTGTATCGATTGACCGACGTCATACTCGGTTCCTGGTCCATACTTATTATTTTAAATGAAAGTTAAAGCTGTATGTAATTGACATTTACATTGTTATTTTAAACATTTGAGATCAGTATCTAAATTGATAATGAATACATTATATTTTTATGGAGTATTTAAGGCAATCCTTCAAAACTGACTTTCCATATAAAGTGATGATTGACATGAAATGAATAAAACATGCTTGATCACTGATGTAATGTGATTAAAATTTAAAAGTTTATATAAGGTGTTAATTAAATTCAGTATAGAATCTGCATTTACACTTAAGAATTATCACTGTGCTAAGACTTATCACTGTGTTATGATTGTACTATTTATTGCTCTTTCCTGAAAGTTGCATCTTATGGTTAAAAGGTATATTGTATATGAAATTAAAAATATCAAACTTCTTGGTGATAATACTGCTGCTTATTCAGAACAGTTTATCTAAAACTTGTTAAATTTGATGTTGGTTTCGTGTTTTAGGGAAGTTAGAAGAATGGCCAGCATTAACTTTAACTTTAGCTATGATAGGCAAATCTGGTATAGCAGGAGGCTGGGCAGCAGTACAAGTTTTCTCAGCAGAAACATTCCCCACTGTTGTAAGGTAAAAATTTCTCGTAATAGAAATCTATATTGAAAATTGTTGCTGTATTGTTTAATTGTTAACACATAAATAAATACAACACTAAAGCTAATAATACCCTGTCCCTTGCATAACACCTATCATAACTTATATTGAGATTTATGCATTGGTATGTGTTCAGAGTGACATGGTATTCTTGGAAAGATTTGAATTTGACAACTAATATTTATGCTATAAACCATAACACATACTTTTGGAAAATAGCTACTTATTTATTTGGGCAGCGTTTCATAGAGTATCCTCTCTATACGTATCAACTATCAAGCTAATTCTGAAAGATTAACACCCTTGTGATTCCATGTCCTTTGACCTTCTTGTCGTCATGTATGGTTTCTTGTTACAGTTTTTCTGTATATATTTGCCTCACATTTTTGTATTACTGTATTACCTTGAAAAGTCACCTAAATAAATTAGTATCTGTTTTTCCATAAGTATTTGTTATGGTTTATTGCTCTATCAAGTAACTAAATGCCTCTAAACGATTAATATTTATGCTGTATAATTTGATTGTATAATTTTAGGAATCTAGGTATTGGTGCATGTTCAACATTTGCTAGAATTGGTGGAATAGTCGCTCCCCAATTAGTATATTTGGTAGGTAACAGATTGAAACATTCAAGAACAGTCAAGACATTTTGAAACTTTACTACTGCACAGTTTATTGCAGTGTTTTCCAGTCTGGGGTCGACAAAGGGGGGTTGGATGGCCAAATGGTTAGCATGTGCACGCTGTATCATAAGGTCTGTCATTGTGTGAACTGGTGTGGCTTCGAGTAGGGTCGACTGTCCAACCTCGTGGGGTTTTTTGTCCCCCGCCTTTCGAAGAAAGCAGGGGACTATTAAAATGGGTTCGTCCGTCTGTCTGTCCGTCTGTCTGTCTGTCTGTCACACTTTTTGGGACACAATAACTCTCTTCCTAATTGAGCTAGAATGTTCAAACTTGGTGTATGTGTTTATTAGGTCAATGCCTTGATGGAGTTCGAAGATGAGCATTTTCCGCTTAGGGTAAGCAGAGATAAGCAATTTGATTGGTTGATGCTTTGGGACACGATAACTCTCTTCCTAATTGGGCTAGAATGTTCAAACTTGGTGTATGTGTTGATTAGGTCAATGCCTTGATGGAGTTCGAAGATGAGCATTTTCCGCTTAGGGTAAGCAGAGATAAGCAATTTGATTGGTTGATGCTTTGGGACACGATAACTTTTAATTGAGCTAGAATGTTCAAACTTGGTGTATGTGTTTATTAGGTCAATGCCTTGATGGAGTTCGAAGATGAGCATTTTCCGCTTAGGGTAAGCAGAGATAAGCAATTTGATTGGTTGATACTTTGGGGCACGATAACTCTCTTCCTAATTGAGCTAGAATGTTCAAACTTGGTGTATGTGTTGATTAGGTCAATGCCTTGATGGAGTTCGAAGATGAGCATTTTCCGCTTAGGGTAAGCAGAGATAAGCAATTTGATTGGTTGATGCTTTGGGACACGATAACTTTAGTTCTAATTAAGTGAGATTGATGAAACTTGGTGTATAGTTTCATTACAGTAATACCTTGACTAAGTTCGATAATGAGCATTTTCTGCTCAGGGTAAGCAGAGCGATAAGCAATTTGATTGGCCGAGACTTTGGAACACAATAACCCTCCTTCTAATTGAGCTAGAATGTTCAAACTTGGTGTTGGTGTTTATTAGGTCAATGCCTTGATGGAGTGTGAAGATAAGCATTTTCTGCTTAGGATAAGCAAAGATAAGCAATTTGATTGGTTGATGCTTTGTTTGGGACACAATAACTTTAGTTTCAATTAAGTGAGAGTGATGAAACTTGGTGTATAGTTTCATTACACCAATACCTTGACTAAGTTCGATGATGAGCATTTTTTGCTCAGGGTAAGCAGAGCGATAAGCAATTTGATTGGCCGAGTCTTTGGAACACAATAACCCTCCTTCTAATTGAGCTAGAATGTTCAAACTTGGTGTAGGTGTTTATTAGGTCAATGCCTTGATGGAGTGCGAAGATAAGCATTTTCGGCTTAGGGTAAGCAAATATAAGCAATTTGATTGGTTGATGCTTTGGGACACGATAACTTTAGTTCCAATTAAGTGAGAGTGATGAAACTTGGTGTATAGTTTCATTACATCAATACCTTGACTTAGTTCGATGATGAGCATTTTCTGCTCAGGGTAAGCAGAGCGATAAGCAATTTGATTGGCCAAGACTTTGGAACACAATAACCCTCCTTCTAATTGAGCTAGAATGTTCAACCTTGGTGTAGGGGTTAATGAGGTCAATGCCTTGATGGAGTGCGAAGATGATCATTTTCTGCTTAGAGTAAGCAGAGATAAGCAATTTGATTGGTTGATGCTTTGGAAGTGGAACACGATAACTTTAGTTCTAATTAAGTGAGAGTGATGAAACTTGGTGTATAGTTCATTACATCAATACCTTGACTAAATTCGATGATGAGAATTTTTTGCTTAGGCCAACGAGCAATAAGCATGTTGATTGGTCAAACTCTTCTTCTAATTGAGGTAGAATGTTTAAACTTGATGTAGATGTTCGTCTTGACTGAGTTCAATGATTAACATATTGAGCTAAAGCTAAGCAGAGATAAGCAATTTCCTGCTTTGGGACAAGATAACTTTGATTCTATCTGATAGAGAGTGATGAAACTTAGTTTATAGTTGATAATCAGTTTGATTGCTTGATACTTTGGAAAAAAATAGATGTGCGATTAATTAATATGTGTCATCTATTTATTTGGGGATTTCGGCGGGGGACATCAGCCTCACTGTTGGCTTGTCCCACTGGTAAAGACCCCCACGCACAAGTGAATTATTGAAATAAAAATTGAACCATATGTTAGTCCTGAAATGACCTAGTTTGTGTTGAGTGGACGTTAAACCCCATCTCTTTCTCTCTGGGGCCCACAAAGTCAAAGTGGTCGACAGGGGTTGTTAGTTAAGCTCTAAATATATGTAACCGGTGACAGCCAAATGAGTCACTTGGGGTAAAAAGTAATATTTGAGTTATGCATATATTCAGAAAGTACATGTTATAAGCTTTTCAATGATGTATAAAATGTAAAGATTGGATGTAAATAAGGTTTGTTTTTAGCATCGATTTTAATGACACTACTTACAAAACACCCAATTTATACACTAAATTAACTAAATATTTAAATTTGTCTAGATTACTCCAATAATAGACAAGTTAAAGCATCAGATGTCGCAAAAAAAAATTGTTTTAAAGTTAGCTCAAGTAGCTATTTTATATCGTAGTGTTAAATGGGCATGTCCGACTTCAGACTCATTTGGCCGTCACCGGTCACATATATGTACCTGAATTAGAGACTGAAACAGAAAGATTAATGTCCATTAGGTGATTTCGGGATTCAAATTAAATCAATTATTCGCTTGGATGTAGAGGTCTTTAGCTGTGAGATAAAACAGACGAAATCTGGACTGGCGACCCTACTCCTTGGGATCAAAACCACGCCACTTGAATTAATGACAGACCTTATGATTTAAAGTGCATGCAATAGACCACCCAACCACCCTGAAATGAATGAATTTAAATCCTAAAATATATATTGAAGTACAGAGACTAGGATTTCAGAAAGTCAGCGTATATTGCATATTTTCAGGGCAATGTGTGGAAACCGATACCATTCACAATATTTGGTATTATTGCTATACTGTGTGGAGTGTTAATGATATTTATGGTGGAAACAGTTGGTCAACCATTACCAGATCACATCAACAAGAAAATAAAGGTCATTACAGCTGACAATGGTGATACAAATTTTGAGGAAGTTCCTCTTTCCAATCATGACACAACACAATTATAATCTCCATTTTAACAAGACCCTGATGGTCATTTCAGGGAATTTTGAATTCCATACAAACTTCAATATTAATATTGTGAAAGTTGAGTCTCTATTGGTGTCAAAAAATGGTTCAGTTCCATTGCACTACACCAGGCAATCTGGCAGCAGGACTGCCAGGTGTGGCTATTAATTGTGAAGTAAAAAGAGTTGGCCTTATTAAATATGAAATCCTTATACAGCATTTAGTAATTGAATATAAAAACACAAATTTATATGAAAAACAATCACTGATTTTATTTCACACTATGTTTCAAAAAGTTAAAGGAGCCAAGTCGCTAATATTTGGAACCTAGAAATTGACACAAATGGGTTGCAACGCATATAATAATGTAATCTAATTGTATATAAACTGATTTACATTCAATTGTTACATTGACTCTAATTTCAAATCAGTTATGTCCAATGAAATACGGCACGAGTCTCGCCCGAATGTCAATTTCTAGCGTCTGGTTATTCTAGTCTATTGCGCATACTCTCATGGCGTCACCGTTTGAAATGAGTAGTCGAATATGTCTAGCCTAAATCTTTTTGGTCACTTGTTACAAATGACGCTGAAATGCACTATGGTACACAATTCATGTACCAATGGTAAAATGTTTATTTTGTCTTATATATTGGATATCAGAAGCCTACCTTTTCCCGGTAAGATCACAACATCAATGTTGATTTGAACTGACAAATAATTTGTGTTTTCAACATGTAAGTCTTTGGATGATATTGAGTTAGAGACTTAGCTACTTTAAATATGAATGAATATAGGTCTCTAGTTAAAGTTATTCATATCCTGCAATGTATTCATATCCTGTAACATTGGGCCTCCCAAATTAGGCCCAGCATTTTCTACAACTGGCCAGTTTGATTTGCAAATTTACCAGGATTCAGTATCCTCTGCAGACTGTATAAACAAGGCAGCACGTCCTGTAAGTGCCAGAGAATTGAGAGAAAATCTTTTAATCCGATCGAATCCAAGTTAGCAGAATATCTACTCTTTGTATTTTGGTTTTGTTTTCATAATTAAATGTTAAATAATCCAATTGAGTACAATTTAGCATGAACTAAGCCATAAAGAATACATATTATCTGAAAAAAATAGCTTTGACACATTATTTTTATACAAGTATTATACACAAATCAGGATCTCAGTTTTATATCAAATGTTTATTAGTCACTTATACAGTGGTCTTCCTTTTGTTTAATTGCTATAAATGTCCAAAAATTTGTTTTATGACAATAAAATAATCCATGACCCTGTTGTATTTATATAAAATTAACTCTACCCTATGTGATGGATACACTTAATCACTTCTCCACAGGAGTGAAAATGGAATTTAACTAAAATTTATTCAACTGTATTTTATTTATTTTATATTATATTTTGATTTGATTATAATTTTATTTGTGCTTGGTATATCAGTTGTTACAAATTAAATAAACTCTTTATTCCATGGTTGATGATGCAGAAGAGATTGAACAATTTAGCATTGTTGGACATTCAAGGTAGCTTGTACTTTTCTATATAAATCAAATCCATAATATTTTTATGTAATTCAATTTCCATATAAACATAACATGTTTACCTTGGTGCCCACATGTCTTGATCCAGTACATAGACGACTGTACTGCTGGTTGTTGTGGGTGTATTAGGAGGTCTAACAAGTCACATAGTAGCAGAGAAAGCCTTTTAATAAGAAATTAATGTTTTGTCTGCAACATCTGTGCGGAAGTAGTTGAGTCAGAGGAAACCAATTTATAAGAATTGGTGAAAGCCAAAATTTAACATCAGGATATTTTAATACTATATTTTGCTACAGGTACCTGCTTGTAATATGTATTGATGTCAAAGTAATAAATTTTGAATTTGTTTAAAAGTATTTGTCTTAACTTGTCGAATGTTCCAATATATTAATTATGTTCCAATATATTAATTGCGAAATTTCTTAGAGTTTTAAAAATAAAAAGTCATATAAACTGAGCTTTGGGCATTTCCATACCATCCACATAGTTGAATGAACGATCCAAGGGTGGTTTGGAGAAAGAAAAACAAATGGGGTTTAACATGCCCTCAACACAGACTACAACATAGTTATGTTGGGCGTAGGGTTCTTTAGCAGTGGGACGGTCGACCGACAGAATAAACAAAGTTGGGCAGGCAACCCTACTTTTGACATATATAAGCTATCCATAGCAACCCTGCCACTTGTGATCTAAAGCACACACTAGACCACATCACCTCGAGGGTGTTTGAGGATACACAGCATATTCTTGTATTCCCAATAAATGTTAAATCAAATGGGGAAATTCTCTTTGTCCAATATTTCTGAACATTTTTTTTTTCAAACTTTCCTCATTCATACATTTGGAACTGAGCATATAAAGAACTTATCAGTCATTGGGAGGTAGTTTATGGGTGTTGATTACGAGTAACAGATTGTTAACCCCGTTCCTTCCAAAATGACACAGCACAGGATGTTGATGACCAAATCTTCTAGACATCCTCTCCCAAATGACTTTCAATGAACATTTCGATACAATTTGATAATATTAAAAGGTCTTCACCATCTTGATTTTTTTTCTATGCCCTGTCAAAATCATGTCTATTTGCCAAAACCTTGCAGAAAATGTGACCAGTCAACAAAAAATGCCATGCAAAAACAGCATTGTTAAATATAGATCACCTTTTAAAAATCTTGTGGGTGGCTGTAGTAGAAGGTAAAGTTATTATCTGATTGACTTCAAATTGATTACTTTAAAAATATCTTTTGGACACTTCAGAGAACAAAAGTTATCCGACTGACTTCATATTCATACGGCCACAGTGGCTAAGTGAGTAAGACATTGGCTCACTAAATTGGAGGTCCGGTAGTCGATCCTTGTTAGTGGTGTAGGACGGAAGGACATGGCAAGGTACAATGTATAGTAATTCAGTTGGTCGAAAAACAGATCATGTGTACATATTGGCGTGCATGTAAAAGAACCATAGGTCATAGCGTCGCTGTCCGGGCAAAATGTCCCTCAAAGAACACTGCATGCCCGTCTTCATTAGCCTGCTCCATTTCAAATTCATACTACTAAGATATTTGCTATGAAAGCACCGACATACAACTTAAAATTTTAAAAACTATCCTGTCACTTAAAGGCAACAGATGCAGAAAGTTTAGTCTGAACTGTAGATATAATAGAACGTTTGGTAATTTGGAAATTAATCTGGCTGCAGAATTTTGTATCGTCTAGTTTTTGTAATAATTCAGATGAAATGCCAGTAAAATACCTACAGTGATCTTATTTTGATAATATTACGAAACTGACACAGTTATATGGGATAACAATCACTGGTTTATTATACACAAGCACGACGTTTCGATAAGAGTCGATAAGTATTCTCTTATCGTTATCAAGCACAATGACATTTAGTAAACTTGAGGGTCTATATATATATGTACAATGTGAAACCGTTCTTACTGTCTCTACATCTCATAAGAAATGTTAAGTTATAACACACTTGAATATATTTCCCTTCTAGTTTACTAAGCTGACGTACACACTTAACTGCCTCCTCCCCATACTGATGATGAATATAATCATTTAGTGGCATTTAGCAATTTAGCCACTCAAGGATTATATTCATCATCTATAAAGAGAGAAATGGGGTTTAACGTCCACTCGACACAAACTAGGTCATTTCGGGACCAACATGGTTCAATTTTTATTTCTATAATTCGCTTGGGGTCTCTAGCAGTGGGAGGAAACCGGAGAAAACCCACGAGGTTGGACAGGCGACCCTACTCCTTGCCACGTACAACCGGGGAATCGAAACCACGCCAGTTGACTCAATGATAGGCTTTATGATACAGTGCGCACGTGCTACCCCCCCCCCCCCCCTTATATACCACGCCCCTTATATATATATATATAAAAATGAAAATTAAAAAGTTGAAAGGAAAACAGTATTATACTATTCAAAAAAAGTAGGGGATATTTGATTTTGGGGGCATAATACTAAAATATGCAAATGACTACGAAAAAAGTCACTATAGAACCTAACAGAAGAAACATTTCCAGTTACATGTGACGCCCAAACGCACCAATAGCTACCGCATGGAATGCAGGTGATGCTTGGGATCATCATGGGGGTCCAACCCAAGATTTGCACGACTCTGACTTTGAATGTTACAGTCATTGTGGCATTGAATTCCAGGGTGGAAACATCAGTTTAATTGTTTTAGTGACCAGAAAACAAATTTTGATATGCGTCGGCTTACCCAAAATGAAAGGTTACGTGCCCTTGCCATGCTACAGATCGGCACAACACAGGCGGTTGTGGCGCGGACGATGAATGCTTCTCAGTCTGTCATAAGCAGGCTATGGTCCAGATACCGTGATACACAATCTGTACAGGACAGACCACGCTCAGGTCGACCAAGGGCGACAACTCAAGCCCAGGATCGATTTATCCGTACCTTGGCCTTGAGAAATCGTGTCATCACAGCAAATCAGATCAGCGCTCGTCTTCAAACAGACACTGGTGTGAGACTGAGTGGCCAGACGATTCGGAATCGACTGCATAGGGGTCACCTTCGCGCCCGACGTCCTCGCGTGATCCCTTGTTTGAGAGATCATCACATTCAGGCAAGACGTCGTTGGTGTAGGGATCGTCAACACTGGGATAATCGACGCTGAAGCAATGTGATGTTTTCAGATGAGTCAAGGTTCACTGTTGATTTTTTGGACAGGCGTAGGAGGGTGTGGCGTCGTCGAAACGAGCGCTTCCAAGACGTTAACGTCATCAGACATGATCGATTTGGGGGTGGTTCTGTTATGGTGTGGGGAGGCATCACTGTTGCTGGAAGAACGGCTTTACATGTTGTTGCAGGGCGTGTTACAGGCCAGTACTACCGGGACAACATCTTGGCAGTCCATGTTGTGCCGTTCGCACGACGTCATGGCCGCCGTTTCATCTTCCAGGATGACAACGCAAGATGTCACAGGGCCAGGATCGTTACAGGTTACCTCCAACAACAGAACATCACCACATTACCTTGGTCAGCACTGAGTCCCGACCTCTCCCCCATCGAGCATGTCTGGGACATGCTTGGACCGAGGTTACGTCAACGTCAACAACGTCCTGCCAATGTCCAAGAACTTGCTGCTGCGTTGCAACAGGAATGGGACAATCTGGACCAAAATGACCTTGGACGTCTCATTAGGAGTATGCCACGTCGGATCAATGCTTGTTTGGCAGTATATATATATATACATGTATATATATATATATCATATTAATATGGCCTGAAGAGGTTCAAGAGAACTGAAAACATTAGCCATAAACAGGGTTTATTTCTTTTTTCAACCTAATTTTAACCAAATGTTTCATGAAACTGGACAATCCTATTCAGAAATATTTTTAAACCCCTTTTTACTTGACCAACACAAAACTGGACATACCATGTTTGCGGTAAAAGAAAATTTTGCCTGTACAATGGTTGTGTAAAAGGTTCTTTTAATTTACTCCAAACCTTGACCTACGGTTATTCAGTGTGTTCTTGTTCGACCCCTTTAATTCCCCATTACATGCATACCTAACAGAATGGACCATTCCATTGGCTGGTCAAATTACCTTGGATCCAACAGAATCAGGCTTGCAAATTTCACTAGATTCTTTGTAAATGCAGGAACTGAACCCGTGGTATTACTTTCACATCATTTGTTGTGTGTTCTTTCAAAACTAACGATTATGCAAAGTAATAGTTATTTCTTATCTTTCACATATGCTAGACATTTTACTGGTTTTTGACATTCAGCATCAATATTTAACATAAAAACACTCAACAAGCATAGAAGGATTGTTTTATTTTTTTTCTTAAATTAAACTTTTATACAATCTTAACTTGTCCTTCAAGCTGGATCTCAATGGCTGGGTAGTTCATTTTGTGAGTACTGTTTTAAATTTTATTTCATTACCTACTGCTATTTTCTATTTAAAAGTTTGTCCATTCACCAAAATAAAACAGATTGAATTAGCACTACACTGTTTACGTCATTTGTTTTTAAAAATTTCTTCATAGATACACTGACAATTTCAAATCCGGAAGAAAGGTACTGTTGTAAATTAATTTGACTCTTGTATTCACAAAATATTTCAATAGTCTTTAAATTTGCACTAGACTGCTGGTTAACATTACATTTTATCCAAGTAGTTGTCAAGAGCGGGTATGCCTTCTTTAAGACCTTTTCGTTTTCTGGCGTGTTCAACAATTGCGTAAGGTTTGCTTGTTGAATCAAAAGGATCACCAACAAGCATCTGCCAGTGATCAAATACACACTGTGGGAAAGCTTGTCCTTGTGTTTGTGATCGTAGATCACCAGTGAAACCTGAAATGTGGAATATTCATGTTATAGAACCATCACAGAACAGAGCCGTTCGAGATAATGAAATAGTCTGTTCAACACAATTTAAACATATGCTTTGCATTTCAATAATTACAATGCATCATCAATAATACCTTTCAAAATGTTTCAGCATAGGTGATAGTTAAAAAAATAGATCAGGAAAAATGAATACTTAATCTTGAGCTTGAAGTTTTGACAAGAAATAGCCATAAATTGTATCTGATGATTGTTGAGAATTCCTGATTGTTGCAAATCTCATCTACAGTTCATATTCTTGGTTGTGAATTACCATGGCAATAATGAACAAAGTCTCGGTTGTCAGTCCCATTTATCGGCAGTTTGCGCGAATGACAGGATGTGCTACTGGAAAGGTCAGCTTTGACCGGACATATTAGTGCAACACAATTATGGCATCTAATCCACCAATATCTAATCCATCCGATGCTCATGGAGGGTTGATTATGGGCATTTGAGCCTGTCAAATGTCTTAAATTTATGTAACATTTGAAGCCAGAAAAATTCTGGCAATAAGCAAATTTAGCTCTTAATCGCCAAGCTATACAAATTATCTTATTCTGTAGTATTTATCAACCAACAGGGCTGTTGGTAATTTTTCACAGTACTGCTAATCAAAAAGTCCAAATTTTGCCAAATTTGATTTGCAAATTAAAGGTAAGTTGCCGGGCAACAAAACATACGCCCACAGCAGCTAAATCATCCGAGCAATCGACAAGGGTTGTCGCATATTTATTCTTTTGTAGGTAATTAGGGGAATTTAATAGACAATTTCATACAGATGACATAATTTTCGTCATTCGAAGGTTCACAAGGGTCTAAAAACTAAAACAAGGGCTGTAACTCTGGAAGTAATCTACAGAAATTGTTGAAATTTGACAGGCTTTTTCGTTTAACTAATCCAAATAATGCATATAATTTACATACAGATCGGATAATAACTTTTGTTAAGAGCATTCACAAGGTATAACAAAGTGAAACAAGGGCTATAACTCACGGCATAATTAACGGAAATTGCTGAAATTCAATAGGCTTCTTCGTTTCACTAATTTAAATGATGCACATCAATTTCAAACAGATCGGATGATAACTGATGTCATTAGAGCGTTCACAAGATTCAACAAAGTGAAACAAGGGCCATAACTCTAGATGTAATTAACGAAAATTGCTGAAATTCAATAGTCTTCTTTGACGCATATAAATTTCAAACAGATCGGATAATAACTTTTGTCGTTACATTTCCATGTGGGAGTATAAAAATTGATTTTATGCTTCGTTACGTTAGAAATCTTCGTTAGAAAACAATTTCGTCTGCTTTTTATCGTGTATTACTATTACTATAAACAATATTTTACGGGAATTCTTACTTTGATTTATCATTTTACAATACGTAAACATGTACTTAATTTTTTATATTTTATATACAATACGTGGAGGATACACTGGATTTCTTTCAAAATGAATACTGATATAATTACTTGAAATTGACATGTCTTGCAACGTGAGTGTTACTACTTGATTCCCCATTTCTGGTTTAATAGTCCCTATTCATAGAGTTATGTCCCTGTATTATATAGTATAATGAATTGTGTCTGGGTAGATCAAGAAGAAAATGTCACAGAGAATTCAGTTTATAAAGTTTTATTTGGCATTTTATTCACGTTGCAAGTGTTGAGAAAGCCTACTAGTCTTCAAAATGTGGATAATCTTTGTGACAATATCCAAAATAACAGGCATATTAGTTACTGCGATACAAAAAAGTTCGATTTTAATTTTTGATTAGCAACGGACAACCAGGTCATAAATATGTATAAAATATATAATTTACCAAATGATTCATTGACAGGTAAGTAAGCTTTAACTAATGTTTGTGGTGTACTGCCAATCTGTGAGTTCTCAAATACAATACCTCGTCTTCTATTCAATGTAGAGTAAATACCACCTTGGGCAGATTCGGGTACCTACAATAAATTCCACAATACAAATAAACTGCTTTCAATTCAACAATACTGTATATGATTGTCAGACAATATTTATCATGAAAACTCCATATAGGAAAATAATCAAAAACCAATTTTTGTTTATAGCATAGAACTCCCAACCATCTAAAATGGATTAATTCTACTTACCATAATTTCTACTAAATAAACAGGTTCAACTAATCTAGGAGAACCAGTCAGAATTGAGGCATAGAATACTCTTCTAGCAGTAGGAATAATCTGTCCACCTCCACGATGAATAGCATCAGAATGAAGAGTCACATCATGGATATTAAATCGTACACCTCGCATGTTTTCTTCACACAATACACCCTGAAATCAGTCAAGATGAAAAGATTGAATACATTACACCCTAAATTACACCTTAAATTGTTTTGTCACCATATACAATCAAAAGAAATCTACCTATAAATCATCTTAATCAAATGACCATTTGCTGAATAGTTTTTCTATGCAACAATATCTTTATCCAAGATTAATTCTCTAGAATTGAGGGATTGACTCTAAAGGAAGCAATTTTACAGTTTGAGGAAACAGAACAGAAAGCTAGAAATTTTACCTCTTTTGTAGCCCACTGGAAGCCAGCAACAACACTATCTTTAATTTCATTCAAATATTGTACAGCCTTTGTACAATCCAACAACAAGTTGGGACCAGTTCCTTCAGGTCCAAAAGCCCAGATTTTACGAGCCTCACCTACATCAAAATCAAATTTCTCACTCAAGTATTTGGCTCTTGCTTTAAACTCTTGTCTTGGTGAAACATCACCCTAGAATACAAATAAACACAAGATATGATATGGTATAAATTTTTGATTCAGACTACGTACTCCATTGCTCATCAATTCAATTAAAATGTAGGCTAACTACTTTCATGTTCACCTTATCTAACGAATTTCATTTCCATGGATTTTTTTTATTTTTTTATGGTATTATGGTTTAATTATCATAGATATAATGAAATGAAATGGGGTTTAACGTCCTACTGTTCTGCTCTGACTGGGCTAATGAAGACGGGCATACGCCACATACAGCCTATTCTTATATTGAATTCCAACTGCCAAGGGATCTTTTACGTGCATGCCAATGTATATACGTGACCGCAGTTTTTCGCATCATCCGAATGACTCGACAGCTATCCTTTCCAGCCCTTCGTCCAGCATCACTGACAAGGGGAAAACCATCTTGGAAAATCCTGATGAACTTTCTCGGTCAATGCAGGGATCGAACATGCAGCCTCCAGGCTCCCTCTTGGATAGAATATCTCGCTGAATATTTTGCCAGGCAGCAATATTTTCACATCCAAGAAATGGGGCATTTTGTCTCAGTACTTATTCCTTGACCGATTCGTACAAAAATTTTCATTGACAAAGGTTCCAAATGTGATTTTAATATCTCCTGGTGGCTTTGGACATCCGGATAACTTTATAAGATCTATATTAGTTATAAAATCATTAAGAAAATATGAATCTCATTACAACAAAATGGAATAGAGTTTAATTTCCTACTGCGACTGTGCTTTGCAGTGTGCAGTTCTTTGACGTACATTGCTCTATATAAATATCGTAATATGAAACCTTTTTATTCAGTGATGGGATTTCAAAATTATTCTTGTCGCACACTTTTTTCCCGAAAAAAAAAGGGGCATAACTCTTATTATTTAAGCAGACGTTTTTAAACCACAATTAAGAATCACGTGTCAACAAAATATTCAAATTTATACGTAATAAAAAAATATCTTCACCTCGTTATTTTTCATGCTTAATTCTCATACGGTATTAAAATTTATGTCAATAATATTCTTACAAAATTACATGACATCGTAATACCATAGAATGAAAGTGTGACGGCTACTGTCGATCGGTACCTGTTTCAAATTCCCCCCAAATTACCGTATTTTTCGGGTCATATTTCGATACATTTTTCAGCAAAGACCGGCATTCATCTCATACTCCGTTTCGATTTATATACGAAAGGAAAAATATGACATCCCGAAATTTATTTCGTAGTAAACGTTGCTCAAAAACGAGCGAGGGACACCAACTGCAGCTAAATAATCACATTCGACTCTAGCACGCGCTATCGTCTAAAACAATTAACTAACCTTATTCCAATCGACATAGTCATCAACATTTCTTAGCGTGTTTATTTAAAAACATAAACCCCACTCAAAATATGATCATAAATCCGACACTATGTCATCAAAATAGAATCTTTTCTCTCACATCAGGCGTGTTGATTCGGCACGTTTAAATCTCTTAATTTCACGCGTCTCGCAAGATGACTACTTTCATTTTGAGTCACTTTACTAAAACAATTAACTAACCTTATTCCAATCGACATAGTCGTCAACATTTCTTTGCGTGTTTATTTATTTATTTAAAAACATAAACCCCACGTATTAAATTCGGCACGTTTAAATCTCTTAATTTCACGTGTCTCGCGAGATGACTACTTTCATTTTGAGTTACTTTACTAGAACCATGCGTGTGTGTGAAATAGCTTTATTTAACTTTGGCTTCCACCGAAGGAATATCGGATACAATGTATATTGAATCGAAGCATGTTGAAAGTTATAATGACTGTCTATTGATGTCTATTACAATATGTGACATCTATAGTTTATACATATTGTCGGTTCACATCAATGCGATCAATATGTCCGACAATGCAGAAACCACGAGGTTAACACGAGGATTAAAATTATAATCACAGTTATTAGATTGATGAATATTCCGACAAAGGGGAAACAATGACTTCTGTTTACGACTAGATTGATGAACTGCCCAACAAAGGATTAAGTCAGTCAATCAAGGCAGATTAAGTAGTTAATCAAGGTAGGTTATTTATAGACGGTCTAAAACGATATATACGTTGATCACTTAATTACCTAATCAATCCAGCGTATTATCGACGATAATCGGGTTGAGTGGTAGTTATACAATCAGTAAACTATTAATTTCAGAATTTTGAATATTATTCACCATGTCTTGATGTCCGATTGGGCATATTCCCGGTCGGACAATTTTGGGCATTTGGAAAAAAGATTCGGACAAGTCCGGAATATACGGGCAAAATCCCATCACTGTTTTTATTTCTTCGACATCGGAATGCCTAAAAGTTCTTGAAAGTCGGCGAATCTGCTTTGGCTCGGCGATTCAAAGATTCGTACAATTCTATCATCCGTATCCACATGAATTCCGCAAAGTAGATATAATACTCCATAATGCTATAAACTAGTGTCAAGCAGATCAAAACAAGCGTAGATGGTGTGAAATTCATTGATATAAAATTTTCTACTTCCAAACTGTGTGAGTAACTGTAGCCTACGACAGAGCGAAATGTAATTGTAAACAGTGCAAAAAGCGGCTTTTCGTGCTTAATTCTTGCAATTAGAAACAAATAATTAAATGTACGTGACGTGGACGCGAGTATTGTGGTCAATTTACTGAACATCAAGAGAGAGAGAAATGGGGATTAACGTCCACTCGAAACAAACTAGGTCATTTCGGGACCAACATATGGTTTAATTTTATTTCAATAATTCGCTTGCGCGTAGGGGTCTGTAGCAGTGGGAGGAAACCAGAGGACCCGGAGAAAACCCATGAGGTTGGACAGGCGACCCTACTCCTTGTCACGTACAACCGGGGATTCGAAACCACGCCAGTCGACTCAATGACAGACTTTATGGTACAGCGCGCGCACGCTAACCATTAAGCCATCCACCCCCCCCCCAATGAACATCAAGTAAAATTTAGTCGCTTGCGACAGGTAGTTTTATTTGCTGTCAAAAAATCGCCTGTCGGCGACAAGTAGACAGGCGAACATTTTGAGCCATGTTTTACGTGCATGCAAATGTGTACACAGGACCTTGATCTTTCCTCCCATCCAAATGCATATCGAATGTCCCTTGACAAAACCTATCCTGCATCACTGACAAGGGGGAAACCACTATTACTATTTGTGTGTAATTTTATTAGACAAGTAAAGGTCGTCATGTTGTAGTTCAAATATTTTCTTCTAGCAATTGACAGTAGTTCAGAAATAAGATGTTTAATACTTACATTATCAATAGCCTCGGCTGTATTATCAGGCATAGGGGCAGCTTTAACAAAAAGACGATTGTGTTTGTTGGGCGATTTTGAAAGACATAAGATAGTGGATTCTTCACTAACTGTTTCTCTATAGGATACAACAGGATCAGATTTTTTAAGAGGGACACCAGCATGATCTTCTTCCAAATCTTTTAGACAGATTTCCAAATGTAATTCACCAGCGCCAGCAATAATATGCTCTCCAGATTCTTCAATTACACACTTGAGAATAGAAAAAAATAATCAAATAAAGCAATAACATAACATAAGGATGGTCATTAGGTTTAATTTTAATTAATTCACCCTAGTAGGGCCCCCTTTCATTACCTACAAGAAGTAAAATGTGTCCGCTATTATCTAAGTAAATGACATTAAAACTGTCTTATCACAGCAATCATTTATAAAATCCATGACGTGAATCTATTCAATAATGAGGAAAGGTGTAAAGGTAATTTTAAAATCTGTTAGTACTGGCCAATCATTTCATCTTATTACATTCAAGATTAAAATGTCATACGAAATCCTGCCATAATCAATACACAGTTATTGCTTACCTGTACCATAGGATCAGATTTGGCTAATCGTTTTAAACCTTCAACCAGTTTCGGTAAATCAGATGGATTCTTACATTCAACAGCAATTCGTACAACTGGACTGACGGAGAACTTCATAACCTGTAAAATAATTCATCGTAATATTTACAAAAACAATAGATCAATAACATAATTCAGATCACTGTAATTATCATCAAAGTGGAATACAATAGTTTCTATTCAATTAACAGAAACTTCTCCCTTAAGCCTAACCCTACATGTATTTACACCCCACCACCATTTTGTGTTGCTCATTAGAATGACCCATGGATGACAATACCAGAATTCTTACATTACAGAAAAAATAAAATGGCTGTTACAACCTGATTAAAATACAGGGCCCTTATTCACGAAAACTTAAACTAAGATACAATCGAAATTTTAAGAAATACTGCAATTCGATTGGCTGACCAATATGCAAATTGGATATATGCAAATTGATTTTACTGGTCAGCCAATCGAATTGCAGTATTTCTTAAAATTTCGATTGTATCTTAGTTTAAGTTTTCCTGAATAAGGGCCCTGATCTCTATATACTTAGTATACTTTTGATGGCCTTCATTAAATGAATATCTTAACGGTTGGAGTGGCCGTAGTGTGACCCTATGATGTCGGTCATTCCATTAACCAATTGGCATCAATAGCTATTTTGATCCCAATGAGCATATTGGAGGTTGTCAAAGACACCTGTACCAATATTCTAGATGTTACTTTAATATGGGAATAAAATAATATATAAGTAAATCTTACTCTCATGTTGTGGGCATCTTTGAAAGTGGTGATAGTACCAGTTTTAACAATGTACTGATCTACTCCAACTAACCCACATATATTACCACATGGTACCTCTTCAATAGCTTCAACATATCTTCCCATCATCAATATAGTTCTAGAAACCAAAATTTCTAAGAGTTATGCAAGGAAAGCATGACAATGCTGGGGCGGATCCAGAGGGGGGGTTTGGGGGGTCGACACATTGTCTCAGGAACCTGACAAACCCCCTCCTGCAAAAATTCCTGGATCCGCCCTGCAATGACTTTCTTGAGATTGTACCATAAATAATCTTATCTAGGTTTACTGGATTCAGGAATCATGACGGTAGTCCTTATACACCAATCATAAAGGAGTTTTGCAAACAGTGACTAGTCCTTATATACCAATAACCAGGGCTTGCCACGAGACGCGAGCAGTTGCTCGCGCTGTGCTCGCGTAAATCTACATTTACGCGAGCGGTTCGTTGCTCGCGCAAAATTTTAAGAAAACCCTGTAAAAATAATCAAAATATTGACAAGTTTATTGCCGAAACTAAACCAACAATGTCAATAACTTCATAAATTCGTCTGTCAAACTGAGATTCACCCAGCTGCACGCGGCATTTCCTCCTTAAATTTGATTGGCTAAAAAGTTACTCAGCACTCTTGTTACTAAAAATACACCTTAGACCTGAACAATATGACTGGTTTTCCTACGAACACCAGTAACGAACGCGTGAAAATCGAGTCTAAAGTAAAGAATGTTTACATCCGGCATTAGGCATTCACGCTAAATGAACACGTTTCAAACTAATATTTATCGGTATTTCCTATTTTATCAGAACTTCGGTTTTTATTCCATTGTGCAGTCGTATAATTTTCAATCTAAGCGTAATAATGGCCAAAGGCAACCTGAAGAAATCCATACGGAAATTGGTTTTAATAAAGAAGAGTACGTATGACTGTCAAAAACAGAAAGCGATGGTCACACATGTTTACTGCAAACTTTGTGCCAGGAATAGCAATTTTCTTATGATTTTAAATTGAAACAATGTTACAAAATGTGTGCTCACGCAAACAACATTTTGCGTGAGCAATTTTTATTGCTCGCCTTGCTCGCCCAAACCTAAATTTGCGTGAGCAGTCATCTGCTCGCCATCAATTTATTCGTGGCCAGCCCTGAATAACCCAAGACAAACTGGTTTCTGTAAATATGTACGACTTGGGTTTTTTAAACCAAGAGCTGGTTGCCTGCCTTTCGCAAAATATACTATGAATTAATTGTCAGTTTCTCATGACCCGAGTTTGTGAAATATACATTGTATGTATGCTACATGTGGTAATTATTACTTAATGAGATGAAATTTAATTTTTTTTTTTAGCTCAATGCCGTTTCTATTTCAGCAATAACTAATGTCAGTTGAAAAGATAGGTTGCCAGGCAACGAAACATACGCCCACAGCAGCAATATCGTCCGGGCAGTCAACAAGAGTTGTCGCATATTTTTAATTTTTTCGGTAATGAACCATTTATAATACATTAAAATCTGATTAAGAGTAACAACTCATTAAGTAATTATCAGAAAACCATTAGAATTTGTTTGGTTTTTATAAAGTTCTGTCCCATGCTAATGTTTAGTATACAAAACTTTTAACATCATGGATTTAGCTGTTTAAGTTATAAAGATTCATTGAAAATCAATATACTTGTTCGTCTCAAGACCTTAAACTCTGTACCAATCTGAAGTCAATCGGATGATAACTTTAGCCTCTAGAGCGTCACAAGATTTTTCAAAGTGATCAAGGGCCATAACTCTGGCAGTAATTATCCGAAATCGTTGAAAATCAATATGATTCTTCATCTCATGACCTCAAACACTGTATAAATTTAAATTTAATAATTTTAGCCTCTACAGCGTCCAAAAGATTTTTCAAAGTGATCAAGGGTCATAACTCTGGCATTAATTATCGGAAATCGCTGAAAATCAATAGGCTTCTTCGTCTCCTGACCTTAAACTGTGTATAAATTTCAAGTCAATCGGATATTAACTTTAGCCTCTAGAGCATCCGCAAGATTTTTCAAAGTGATCAAGGGCCATAACTCTGGCAGTAATTATCGGAAATCGCTGAAAATCAATAGGCTTCTTCGTCTCCTGACCTTAAACACTGTGTATAAATTTAAAGGCAATCGGATATTAACTTTAGCCTCTAGAGCGTCCACAAGCAATTGTGGACGCTCTAGAGGCTAAAGTTAAAGGCATTTGTGGACGCCGGACGGACAGGTGACGACAATATACGACCACATTTCAATGTGGGCGTATAAAAACAATGGTAACCAGTGTCCGCGATTTATTCACATTTATTCAATATTTTTATAGATTAAAATATCGGTTGCACAATAGCCGGGCATCAAAACATGTAATAGGTCTAAATTATTAGTGATACGCTTGTTCGTTAATTCATTGCATTTCATTTCTTTATCCGTCCTTACTTTGACAGGTTACGAAATGACCTGTTCCAAATTGATTGATGATTTGTTCTGACATAAATAATTAAAAGCATACCCTTGGATTTTTAAATACAAAATAAGTTAAGATTATTTAACAGGTCAGTTTAAGAATTTACTACACACGTGGTCGTTTCTCTAGCTGTGAAGGAAGATAGTACCAATGCTATGGCAATAGCCCGTATGTTTACGCTTCAACTTTGAACCCATCATCGGCACATCGCATCATGATAATATAAATGCTTTTATTATTTTGGCTATCTTAATCAAACTGTTTACATTTCTTTGTGTCCTTTTGAGACCTAAAGGATTATGGATTATATGTGGTCTTTGGTGAATGTTGTAGCTACCATTCCTTGGTATGGATGACAGATATGATACAGCTTTATCACTTCCGGTTTTATGGATGGAGTTGGTGTATTTTTTCACATTCTAGCCTACTTTACTTATTACCTACGGTGTCATGTTCATCGATAAATAGTGGAGTTCAATGCGTCAATTCATTGTTCATATTATTTAAAGGCAAACAAATATAGTTTTAAAGGACAAATTTTGGACCTCACTAAATTTGACCAAATCATTATGGAAGTGTGTAATTATTACGGATGAAAACGGACATGCGGGAGGGTCATGAGAAACAAACAATTAACCGCGGCCTAATGGGACCTAGCTAGCCAACTGCACTTTCCATCCCAGGTAATTATTGACAGAAGTATTCTTCATATATAACACGAAACTAATTCATAGCTATCCCAAGCTTTTTAATGTTATTTAGATATACTTCTAACCCTACCTCTGAATGTTCTTTTCAAACAAGTCAGTTTTAAATCCAGGTGCATAGTTTGGTCCCATAATTCGGACCTTTTGACCTGTGCTCACGGTTCCACCAAATACACGTCCAAAGGCATAGAATCGACCTTTATCAGATGTTGGTACCATTTTCGAGATGTACATGAGAAGGGGGCCATCTGGATCACAGTTTTTCATTGCTATAAAAAAAATTTCAGATTAAATATGCTTCACTCATTCAAGACATTTACATTATTTTCAAAGCTTTAAACAATTCTAGAACAATCAACATACTAAACATCCCCATGAGAAAGAGAGAGAGAGAGAGAGATGGGGATTTAACGTTCACTCAACACAATCTAGGTTATTTCGAGACTAACACACGGTTCAATTTTATTTCAATAATTCGTTTGTCTGTAGGGAGTCTTTCGCAGAAGGAGGACCCGGAGACCCCCCCCCCCACCACAAAGGTTGGACAGTTGACTCAATGACAGACCGTATGATACAGCGCGCATATACTAATCATTCGGCCATCCAACCCTCCTCATCCCCATAAGAATGTCATCAATGTAATATTATTGCTTTATGTACTTACACATAGCAGCCGCATCGTCCATTGGACCTTCATATAATAATTCACATCTGTATGTTTGAGCTGTTACTGGGGAAGGAAGATGGATGACTATCATCTGTAACATAGCATCTCCAGCAGGCAGCCATTTCCTCATCATGGTCTAGAAAAATAAAAGAAATGTCAACGTATTGGTTCTATGAATGCTTAAATAGTCCCGCATTCGATCTGGTGAGAGGTTCAGTCAATTCTTCCAATAGCTTTAACGAACAGTCTAGTACCAGATTTTTAGTGGTGCAAGTCAACAGGTTATTGCACTAGTTTTGTCATGCCAAATAATCATACAAAATAACCAGTTTTAATCACCAAAATATGCCTGAAAAGGTACCTTTAGTATTTTACATTCTGTACATGACAAGAGAGAGAAATGGGGATTAACGTCTACTCGACACAAACTAGGTCATTTCGGGACTAACATGGTTTAATTTTATTTACATAATTCGTTTGCGCGTAGGGGTCTTTAGCAGTGGGAGGAAACCGGAGAAAACCCACGAGGTTTGACAGGCGACCCTACTCCTTGCCACGTCGAAACCACGCCAGTCAACTCAATGACAGACTTTATGATACAGCGCGCACGCCAACCATTCAGCCATCCAACCCCCCCTGTACATGACAATAGTAGGGACAAAATTAGTGATAGTACTTACTTTCAAGAGAGGTTTAGCCTCTAATTCTTTGTCTTCAGCAGACAGTTTAATCTGTAGTTTTTCTGCTAATTTAAAAGCATCATCTTTTGGTTTTGACATACAGGTATCAAAAATCTACCCCCCGCAAAAAAAAAAAAAAAAATGTCAAAAAATATAAAATACAGCCGGCATTGTAAATAACGTAGCAATTATTGGATGTTTAAAAAAAAAAGATAGGTTGTCAGGCATCAAAACATACGCCCACAGCAGCTAAATCGTCCGAGCGGTTGACAAGGGTGTCGCATATTTATTCTTTTGTAGGTAATTAGGGGAATTTAATAGACAATTTCATACAGATGACATAATTTTTTGTCGTTTGTGGGTTCACAAGGTTCTAAAGATAGGTTGCCAGGCAACGGAACACGCCCACAGTCGCTAAATCGTCCAAGCAGTTGTCACAAGGTGCAACAAAGTGAAAGTAATTAACGGAAATTGCTGAAATTCAATAGGCTTCTTTGTTTTACCAATTTAAATGATGCATATAAATTTCATACAGATCGGTTGATAACTTTTGTCGTTAGAGCATTCACAAAATGCAACAAAGTGAAACAAGGGTCATAACTCCAGAAGACATTAACGGAGGTTCTTGAAATTAAAAAGTCTTCTTCATCTCACTAATGCAAACGACATATCCATTTCAAAACAATCAGATGATAAATGTAGTCTATAGAGTGTTCACAAGAAATTGTGGACGATGGACTGACGACCGACGGACAGGGGCGACGGCAATATACGACCACATTTCCATGTGGGCGTATAAAAAGGTGTTATTTGTCCATGTGATCTTTTTTCCCGCCAAAATGAACCGAGTGACACCTAAGTCGCAAAGTAGTTTATTAAACGAATAAAAATTAAACTGGTGTGTATAGCTGATAACAGTGCGCGATTCGGAGGGATACATTTTTCGTATGATAATAGCCTGCGGAATATGTTGTTCAGTAAATGGAAAATGATTAAAATATTGTGTGATGGCGAATGCGATGCCAGATGGAAACGTGGTCAATTCTTACCAAGTGAAATGGTTAATAGATAAAAATTATTGTTCTGTGAACAATTATCAAGCTTGTATATTAAACGTCTGTACTTATTAGTTAGATCGTCTGTACTTATTAGTTAGATCGTGAATTGAATGACTGTTAAAAGGTTAGATTACAATTAGTTTATTGACTTATCTTTGGACTACTTTTAATCTTGTTGACTGACATCAAGGGGATTAAAATGTCTGTACGTAGTGGAAAGGTAAATTACGTTCAACATTTTTTCACTTAATCTGGGACAAGAAACTTGATTGGCAGATTCACTTAAATTTGATAACTTTCTGCTAATTAATATTTGATTCGCACTTACGGCATTTTTATTTAGCAAACTGATGGGATACCGCTCATCATATTCCCTGTCCCTGCCGAGGTCACCTACCATAATCCCAATATATATGACACTCATTAATTATTTGCACATTATCTTTATATAAAGCAGCTAGCAATCAGTCTGCTTAATCTGAGCAGATGCCCAGCAAGTGTGAATACTCTATCTTAATTAAAAAGATGAATGAACCCAACTCAATGTTCCCTGCTTTCTCTGAAAGGCGGGGTAGAATAATACTGTCGATATGAATAATGTTTCTACCTGATAGATAGGCGCCAAGATATATTGAGTGAAACCACGAACATTATCCGCATTTTCTTGTTTTTCCCACACTTTAGTTTTAGTGTTGTAAAACTGATTGCCCCACAATTTTCTCATCATTTTAGCTTCTGGAATTTTGAACTTAGATTGGTAGATCTTGGCAAAATCTTTCAGAGTAAAGGCCCAACCATGAAGACCTGAACCAAATCCAACAGTACCATTCTTTGGGTCAACCTGAAAAATAAAACCTTGATAAATTGGCAAATAAAATCAGTTACCATAATTTTGACCAATAATTTCATTTCAAAATAGAACAATGCTGTCCAGAAAGGTTTTTGAACTAATGCCATAAAGAAACATAGGCATGTTAAGAGATATGCAAGACCTATACCCACAAAGTTGATTGAATTTTTTTTAAAACCAGTTCCAAATGGTCATACCTCAATTACTCCCATAGGACCTTCATTGTTACCATAAGTGTTGACAATAACGTTGATATTTTCTACAATACGTTGGAAGGTTTGATAAAGAGTTTCCTTGTCCAATTGTAGAGTAAGTAGAGCCAAATCCATCTTGTTCATCAATACAACTGGCTTTATTCTTTCAGCAATAGCTTGTCTTAATACAGTCTCAGTTTGTACACAAACACCTGAAATGCATCAATAAGATTTCATACTTTAGAACAGAGATAAATTCACATAACAGTAATCTACAAGGTTTTGTCAACTCAATAGTTGAGTAATTTATAAATAAAGATATGGTAACTTCTATGGTTACATGCAGACATGTCCACCTACTTTTCTCTGACTTTCTCGGCGGACGGTTCTTTCATGTGCATGCCAAATTGTAAACTTAGACCAGTCAACCTCAGATTTTCGTCATAACTAGGAACATTGTCCTCGTCAGCCTCACAGACACCACACCTCTAAAGTCAAGACCTTGTAAAATTATATTTTAATTACCTGATACACAGTCCACAACAACCAGAGCTCCATCAGTTACACGCAGAGCAGCGGTTACTTCAGATGAGAAATCTACGTGACCAGGAGAGTCAATCAAATTAATTAAGAAACCTGTATCTTTATGAATTTCTTGTTTGATGTATACCTTGTCTTCTTCTGCCAGTTCGTAGTATAAAGATATAGCACTGAAAAACAATTTACTCCGCTACAAACTTCACGAAGACATCTTCACCACAAATATATTTTTAGGACTTTTAAAGCCAATAAAAAAATTTCCAGATAAACTCATCCCTAATCATGTAAATACATTGGGCGATACACAAAACAAAATAATATTGACAATTAGAATCAAACAAAGCATTTATTTACAATTTTGTGTCAATATTGCCCCATTTAGTGGTACTGCTTTTCTGGAAAATATGTAAGCTTACACCTACATGATCCATCAAATCTATTGCTCGATATTAGAATAAAGTACCTATACAGCACTTCATGGGGTTTTCGAGTCAGCTATTAAATATTACTGATTATATGTTCTCTCAAATTGTGCACTACTATGGCACTTGAACAAACAAACAAAATCTTACGTTGATTTAATGGTAATACAACGTTCCTGTTCATCTTTCCTTGTATCTGTGAATCTTGTTTCACCAGCCCTGGATCCAGCAATAATACCAGCTTTGCTTACTAAGGAATCAGTCAATGTTGATTTACCATGATCTACGTGAGCAATCACAGACATGTTTCTTATGTTCTTTTTTTTGTCCATGATGTCACGGATCTGGTCCACCGTAAAATTCACCTGGTGAAAGAAATAAAATCGTAACCTACTGCAAGTTTGACAGTGAATGCAGGTGACAAAATATACCTACAAACTACATATACTTCAGCTTGGAAGTCTACGATTCTGAATTACCATTTTATGTAAATGTATTACTAGCAATTGTATTGTAATTGTTTAATATCAATCTCAATATCTGCAAAGATTCCGGCTGAAAAATTATCGAAATGTAAGCGAAATTACTGTTTGTTTACATGAGACGCACGTGGGAAAATACCGCTCTGACGTCACACGGCCGGAGATTTTCCATTGCTATGACTCACTTCATTGGTGAATCTGCACCTTAGTAGGGGTTTCTGGTCACGTGACTTTAGCGTGAAATCGGACAGCCACCGGCTGAAATATAGCCCACTTCAATCTACGATTCTGAATTACTTTTTTATGTAAATGCATTACTAGCAATTGTATTGCAATAGTTTAATATCAATCTCAATATCTGCAAAGATTCAGGCTAAAAAATTATCGAAATGTAAGCGAAATTACCATTTGTTTACAGAGACGCTCGCAGGAAAATACCGCTCTGACGTCACGCGGCCTGAGATTTTCCATTGCTACGACTCACTTCATTGGTGAATCTGCACGTTAGTTACCGGGGGATTTTGATATAGAACTAATCAAACGATAGATAACATTTTTGTGGTTATTATTTTTGTGGTTATTACGTGTGGATTTCAGTTTTAAAATTGGTACTAATGATTCTGAAGGGAAAATACCGCTTATGACGTCACGTCACTCAAATAAAAGCACTTATTTTGGTGCCATTCCACGCATTGACTGCTATAGAGCATTTTGATTACATTATTGACGTCTATCTCGAATTTTAAAATTCCATAACTTTGGATCTAATTAGAATATTTTGATGAAATAAAAAAAATTGGGGTAGCATTTTATGTATATTTTCACAAAATATTTAAAAAAAAATGTTTTCTGTCATATGAAACTTTGACCTGAAACCCCTATCTAATGTATTTGAACATATTACAGCAGCAACATCTACATTGTCTTGGATAAAACGGGCCCATTTATTTGAAACCCGAAATATTTTAACTGTTTTGTAATGTCTGTTATTCGTTATTTATTACCTAATTTGACATGTCACTAGTTTTGTTTTAAAGGCTCAATACCACTCTAGTTGTAACTGAATAGTATGTCCCAATCTTTATTCTGGTCAACAAATTGTACTATTTTAGAATATTTCAATTAATTGATGATACAAATTTCATCTTAACACACCTTATTTAAAAATTTTGAAAAATTCAACATAATGGTTTGAAACGTCGAACGTAAACCTTTTCAAATGAAACTTCGATTTAAAAATATTTTCGAACCATCTGGACAAGTAAAATAGGATGTAATGGATAATTTACACAACAGGTAGGACACTTAAACATCCAGTACTTAGATAGAGATATTATTTATTTTCTGGTGCTTTCAAGCCAGCAAGAGTGTTATTGTCCCTTGAACGAATATTTAAAATGAAACAAAGACTTTAAATTAAAAATTGACAGGGTCACCAAGGCAAAATGAAAATAGATCCAGTTGAAACTGGTGAAAGTCATAATATTATTACTGACATATTGTCACAATTGTGTGTTCTTTCAGTTAAGAACATCTGTGCACATCTATATGTAAAAGTTATACGGTAAATACACAATAATAATCGCAATAGCTCAAGTGTCCGTGAGAATTATTAATACAGCACTAGTGACATTAAAATGATTAAAAATAAATCTGTTTCCGTCCATAAACTAAATGGAAATAAAATCTATATAAATTTCAGCTGTCTAGAACTTGGTCAAAATATATAATGTTCACTCTAATAATAATTTTTTAATTTGTCGTAACAGTTATTCAAATTAGTTAATTTTCAGGAAAATAAATTGCGTTTTAGTCTAGTTAAATCGATGGTATGGTCTCGTGACGTATGGCCATACATACGTGCCATATGTATTTCACGGGTTAGTGAAATTGAGAGTAATATAACGGTACTGTAACAGTACAAATCACCACGAAAACAATACAATCGAAGTCAGAAACAATTTTATTACTAATAACCATTATCATAAATATACGATGACACTCACCATTTTGGATTTTTAGTCGATTGGCAACTCTATATTTCTTCTATGTTGCCTTATCGATGGACCCGTTGAAAAAGATCGAGCGTTGGCTTAATCAAGTCACGTGGACGGAATTCTGAAAGTTTGCCACGTTTCGGATATAATATGAAATATAAATATTTTGGAACTGCCAACTCCAAATTATACTGGAAATAAAGAGAAGAATATGGAATTGTTGTATATGGTTCTGTTTTGAAGAAAAAAGAAATGTAAAATAAAATTGCGTAAATTATCATAATGAATACGAAACTAACCGGAAATGCACAGTCATATTAACATGTCTGTCATTGACCAAAAAGAAGAGATTCGCTGACATATGCAACTGTTTATTGTTAGAAAACCGTTTGTTTTTCAAGCATGGTGTCAAATGCAGAATAATAGCGAAGATTTGAATTGAAAGAATTTATAGGTTTGATTTTCTTTTCTGTTTGTTTCAACCATTAACTTTCTCATTGTAAGTTGGAAGTAGGTAAGATAAGTGATCTAAAAAGACCTCGCACTCACTGTTGCCTAAGTGTTGGCTGTTACTAGTGTTAGGCCTACTGACTGTTCAGTCAAACAAAAAACGATAATTACAATGTTGCAAATATACTAAATGTCGTCAACTCGGTCCTATTTGCATTCTCTGAAATAATCGAACATCTGCATATGGAACCTTTATGTGGTCACTGGTGCAAATCTTAGTCATGTGTAAGTTGATGTTCATAAATAATTTTGTGCACAAGAACATGACATGGAATTGCACTATTACTACTAAATTAGCATAAACGATAGGTGAGACATCATCTATATTTACAGAACATACCAATACTTACTTTACATTTACAAGACATTTTTTTTTAAATATTATTTTAAATAAAGAAAAAGTAGCTTCTACAAGTGGCCCTTGCGGGGTCATTTTCTGACATGTCGTACGGTATAGTTTGATTTTAATTTGTTATGATTTTCTATCTATATTTTATCTGTACCCTGATATTTTATTTTTTAAAATCCTATTATATTGTTTTACCGACCAGTTTTATTTTATTATTGTATATGACTTTCTATCTGTATTGTTTTACATTGTGTACTCATAATCATATATTTTTTTTCTGTACAAGCGCCACTGAGCAGCTTTACAAGCTGGATTTTGGCGCTATACAAGTTCAATAAATTTATTTATTTTTATTTTATTTTATAGCTGGCAGTCAGAACGACAATCTACCTGGTGTAATTAGACTGTTGTGACAATGACAAACTTAGATATTTCATAAAGATTAATTCTTTAACGCCTTTAAAAAATCATTTATGATATGTAAACATAATATTTGTTACAAGAAATACATACATGTAATCACAGTATTCGAAAATTTTAAAATACTAACGATGTTTGGGATTTAACGTTAATGACATTGACATCAAAGATATAATATTTTTTACAATGAACGACCGGCTGATCCTGTTAAAAAAAAAGTTTACAACAGAACATATTGTCTGCTACACCTACAGTATCACATGCTGGCCTCTATGTTTAGTGGTCTTCAATCAAAAACGAAGTTGTTTGAATGAATCACTTCATACAGTGGTCTAGATTTATATGGATCTGTATATTTTTTGTTTTGTTTTTATGCAATGGAAATATTTTAGATAATCTGCTCCTTTGCTGCACATAAAAATTTGATATATACTCAGCCAAATTAAAAACTTGACACTGATGAATTTCAACAATTTTTTTTTCTGGTAAGTCAAATAAATTTTAAAGTGTTTCTAACGATAGTAAGTAGTAAGAAGACTTTAATTTCATAATTTCATAAAATTGTAAAGTCACGTGGATCACGTGACTTTTGAGCATATAACGATGAAAAACCTGAAAAACACATGCAAACACAAACTCGCGAGGTCAATCGATGCAAGTTTGCCTAAACTGAACATGCACACGCAAAAACAAATTAAAATTGTTATTTTCATCTTTGTTAGAAAATGCCGCGCCTTTCAAATATAGAACGTCTACGTGCTATAGGTAGGCTCTATGCTGGTCAGTCTGTGGTCACTGTTCCGGCGTGGTTTCCCCTGGTCAGTGATACAGGGCGGAGGGCCTGACAAGGACAGCTGTCTAGTCGTTCGGATGGGACGAAAAACCGAGGTCCCGTGTACACATTGGCGTGCACGTAAAAGATCCCTTGGCATTAGGAATTCTATATAAGAGTAGGCCATAGCGCCGCTGCCCGGGCAAAATTTCCCTAATAGCACACTGTATGGCGTATGCCCGTCTTCATTAGCCCAGGTTAGGAGCAGGACGTTAAACCCCATTTCATTTCATTTCTGTGGTCACTGTTGCAAGAGCCTTTAATTGTTCACACAAGACAATAATTAATCTTAGAATGAGAGTGCTTCAAACTGGAACTATTGCCGACCGCCCAAGGGCGGGAGCGCCACATGTGACGTCACTCCAGGAAGATCAAGCAATACGATTACGTCATCTTAGAAACAGATTTGTCACAGCAACCTCCACAAGTAGAGAGATGTTTGGTGGAAGGGTAACTGCACAAACTGTTTGAAATCGCTTGCAGGCTGCTGGTCTTCGAGCTGGGACCGAATATTGACACCTCTTCATCGCCGTAATCGACTTGTGTGGGCCACAAGACACATAAGATTTACTCAAAGACAGTGGAATTCGGTTGTCTTTAGTGACGAATCTCGATTCACTTTGAGATTTGCAGATGGCAGGGTCCGAGTGTACCGCAGACGAGGTGAACGTTACGCTCAAGTATGCGTCAGAGAAGTTGACCGATTTGGTGGCGGCAGCGTCATGGTTTGGGGTTCTTTTTGTGCACATGGACGTTCTCCTCTTGTTGTTATCCAAGGGAACTTAAATGCTGTCCAGTACAGGGATCAGATTTGCAACCTGTTCTTCTTTTGTTTATGCAGAGACATGGGCCTGGACTAACGTTTCAACAAAACAATGCTCGACCCCATACAGCAATTGCTACCCAGAATTTTTTAAGAAATGCCGGTGTCCAAGTCCTGGATTGGCCGTCGCTTAGCCCCAACCTTAATCCTATTGAACACATCTGGGACGAACTGGGTCGACGTGTTCGTCAGCAAGTGAATCCACCACTGACGTTGCAGGACCTTCAACATGCTCTTGCTGAGCAGTGGCAACGTCTTCCTCGGATAGTTTTTACTAATGTTCTGAGATCCATGAGAAGATGTTGTGTGGCAGTACGAGACGCTAGAGGAGGCCACAACCGTTACTAAACACTTTATTCTGATTGTTCTCCAAGTCTGTGAATTTCATTTTGGGGGGTACTGTGACATCACGAACGTTATCAATGTCAAGGACTTTCGGCGAGACGTATTCTTGCTTTCTGTTGATGTCAAGGTCGTCTGTGCACAACATAACACTAAAATAGTTGCCTTAAACCAAATATTAAAAATCTAGTCCCAAAAATCCTGAGTGTCAAGTTTTTAATTTGGCTGAGTGTACATGTATGTAAGAGGTCACTCATGAATATGTAAATATGACTAATTGCAGTAATAAGATACTAACATTCTCTCAGATACATGTATGGTAGTCTTAGTTCTTAGATTGATATGATATTTCAGAATAAACTTATACCAGAACATTCATGTATATAATAAAAATAATAATAATAATAATTGATTTATATAGCGCCAACAATTCAACTCAGCGAGCTGCTCTCGGGCGCTTTACATAAGTACAACTAATATAAAATTACAACAATCACAACACATTAATCCATAAAAAAAGACATAAACAAAAAATGGAGAACTTTATTTAGTACACATGATAAAAGTCTGACACAAACACAGATAGAACCGTATTCAATCAGTTGTATATTTGATTAAAACGTTCGGTTTTAAAACCTTTGATAGAATTTGCGCTTTTGATTTCGTTTGATATTGAATTCCATAACTTCGGAGCACTGACGGAGAAAGATCTATCACCAGAGTTGGTTTTTGAAAAAGGCTTAATATATAATACATGTATTGTGATAATCACAGTAATTAGATAATTACATTAGTAATACATATTATTGATATAAATATGTATTAATTTGGGTCATTTATTATTTATGTCTACAAGTATGCTATACTAGTCTAGCTACATGTACATATATGTATATTATTTTCATATTCCACAGTGTCTGTTTGTCATTGTACTGTTCAACCGTTATTTACTCTTAAGTCTTTTATGTAAACTTACATGAAAATACTATGATCTAAATTAACTGAGATGATAGTTTTAAAGTGGTAACAAGAACATGCATAAATCATATTATGTTTCTTGACAAGGAGCACGATCTTCTGATAAAAAAAAATACATACAAGGTAGGGATAATGGTAATGGAATGAAATCATTACATTTCTTTTGTAATGAACTTGTAATGAGTAACGGAAAATTTAAATCTAATAGGTATATTTAAAATGAGAAAACTAGTTATTCTGTGCATTGGGTGAGGGGGGAGGGTATATAAAGTAATGGTAATTAATTACTTTCAAAAAGTAATGTTATTAAATACATTTCCAATGTAATGGCCCCAGCCCTCCTACAGAAATGTAAATTATTGAAATAAGGATACAATAAGTTAGTCCAAAGCAACCTAGTTTGTGTTGAATGGACTTTAAACATGATTTCTCTTTCTATTACAATTATATGAAAAGCCATTGCACTATTCACATTATAATGCCGACTAATATTTTAACAGGATTATTGTTAGCTAATCTGGTCTAAATCTATGATTAGCCCAACAGATACACAATTGGACTCAGTTTTTCCACACTATTTTCTAATTCAAAGTTAAAGATACATTATGGGAGATTTTTATAGAGAGTTGGCCATTCTTGCTATAACAGTTCAAAAGTAGATGATGAAAGAAGAATATATTGAAAAATTCAGTCAAATTACTTTATTCTGAACATAGTTATCATCGTTGTAATATTTGCCTAGAAATGGTAGCGAAATGTGTCTTCACGTTCGCTGAACGTTTGATTGACAAGCGTTAACTCCACCTACATATCTCGATTATCAAGTAAAGTTTTCAATGGCATACGGAAACGCTTTACAGCGGCCTCGCTAAGTACACTCTATCATTTAGCCTCGATCTAACTGACGTATTTTCATCAGGTTACCCCTTATTTGATTTAATCAATTAGTGAAATCCTATTTAAATCCGAGCTGTAGCCGAGCCATCCGTGGGTCTACAGAGTTGATTTTGGTCTTGTTGTTTAAATAAAGATCTAATTTATAATTTCTATAACATCTGAAGCCTAAATTAAGACTTGCAATAATCAGATTTAGCTCTTGCATAATGCATGTTTAAATATCTAGATGGGAGTACTAAAGATACATGATGGGATTAGGAGATAGTGTAGCATTGATTAACTCAGTCTGCTACTCAATCTGTGTAGTGATTAAGATAAACACTGATTAACCAATCAAGGACTTAATTAACATCTTTATGGACATATATAAAGTAGGAGTGTTCGAACCTTGCCTTGGTGGAAGCAGATGTTAAATAAAGCTATTGGCACACACACAACTTTGCCAGGGGGTTGGGATGACCTAGTGGTCTAGAGTGTCGCGCTACGAGCTCTATCTGGCCGGTCATCTCTGGCTTGCGGTAGTGCTACATATAAAGACACTGTCTCTATAGAAGAGTGTCTGTTTACACAGATTGATAACAGTTTAAGTTAAACCATGTGCTGGTTTGGTTGTGGAAGAAACCAAATTGTGTAAGTTTACACAATTTGAAAATAGTTGAACTCACTGTGGGACTAAAAGTTACTGTCAGTACGGTTGAAAATTTATAGCACCGATTTAAATTATTTTCCTCAGATTCTGTCTTATTTTTCCTTTGATTTAAATGGATGGGCAACAATTGACTAAATTGGTTGTAGGGCTGTACGATATTCTCGATATAGTCATTTATCGCGATATGGTATTTTCAGACCCAATTACGATACCGTGTGGCCAAAAATCGTCGATATAGTGGTTTATCGAATATCGCCAAAAACTTCAAATATCGAAAAAGATTATCATAAAAATAAATAATAAATACACTATACAGCAGTGGAAATTAGCCGACAGGCAATAAACTATAACAAAACTAATGTTTTGAGAATCGTTATATGTTGAAAACACTTGAGCAGTGTCCGCAGCCGTTTTTCACTGCATCGTGTATGCGTTACTTTTACTTTGTTTTTAGTTTATAAATTGTCAGTTGTTACTACATGTAAAGCTTAGGCCTACTTGAAATACCAGTCATAATGATAGATGGACTGTCCTTTTAAGAGTGGACGTTAAACCCCATTTCTCTCTCTCTCTCTGTCCTTTTATTTATCACCAAGTTTGGTAAAAAGTTGGTATGATCTAATGTTAGGGTGCCCCACCATAAATAAATATCTCGACAATTACACCACAATATCTATATATACACCAAGCCTTAACTCAGCTTCAAACATTTATAGTCACTAAATAAATGGGCATGCTGTACTTAATAAGCTATGTCCATTTAATCATCCATAAATAATACACTGAAAGATGGTTCCGAGTGTCGGCCATAACATCCAAGCACATGTGAGTAAAAAATAGGTTACTTGCTTTTGTTTTGAAAGTAGTCTCGCTTAACCCGTCTACCAACCATTCACGTTTGATTAACAGGTCGGGATAATCAAGACTATTTTTTTACGAAACATAACAGAAAGCTGGAACAATAAATTGAATTTAGAAACACGCACGTTGGGCAACTCAACAATTGTTTTAAGAACCTTGTAAAAGTAAAATGAAACTACTGCTAGAGTGCTAGTATCATGTTCTTGCCCAACACAAGTATTTCAGAGATATTATTTGTACTAAACCAAAAGATGCTGCTCCTAATGGTACAGTTAATGATAAAGCAATTTCAAAAATAAAACGAACGTAATTTCTAAAGCCGCTGTAATAACCAATAAGCTAAATATTACTGCTATTCAGAATCGTCAACAATAGATTTTTTACGGCTGTAATAGTTGATAGATGTGTAGAGAATTGCACGTGCGATGGCTATTTATGGTATTATAGACTCTTCCGCTGAGTGTTATCATATACTATTCAAAAAAAGTAGTGGATATTTGATTTTTAAGTGTTATTAAAGTCACCTAATGAAACTGACGAAGAAACAAATGACAAAATGAAATGAAGTTCACATTCATCGATTTATTCCAAATGATCGTTAGACTAAGTAAGGCACAGACTGACCATTATAAGGGTAAAATGATACCCGGGGTCAAACAGCAAAGTTACCACAGCATCACAACCAAGTCAGTAACGGTAAATCCTCCTCTGTTTGCCAAACAAGCATTGATCCGACGTGGCATACTCCTAATGAGACGTCTAAGGTCATTTTGGTCCAGATTGTCCCATTCCTGTTGCAACGCAGCAGCAAGTTCTTGGACATTGGCAGGACGTTGTTGACGTTGACGTAACCTCTGTCCAAGCATGTCCCAGACATGCTCGATGGGGGAGAGGTCGGGACTCAGTGCTGGCCAAGGTAATGTGGTGATGTTCTGTTGTTGGAGGTAACCTGTAACGATCCTGGCCCTGTGACATCTTGCGTTGTCATCCTGGAAGATGAAACGGCGGCCATGACGTCGTGCGAATGGCACAACATGGACTGCCAAGATGTTGTCCCGGTAGTACTGGCCTGTAACACGCCCTGCAACAACATGTAAAGCCGTTCTTCCAGCAACAGTGATGCCTCCCCACACCATAACAGAACCACCCCCAAATCGATCATGTCTGATGACGTTAACGTCTTGGAAGCGCTCGTTTCGACGACGCCACACCCTCCTACGTCTGTCCAAAAAATCAACAGTGAACCTTGACTCATCTGAAAACATCACATTGCTCCAGCGTCGATTATCCCAGTGTTGACGATCCCTACACCAACGACGTCTTGCCTGAATGTGATGATCTCTCAAACAAGGGATCACGCGAGGACGTCGGGCGCGAAGGTGACCCCTATGCAGTCGATTCCGAATCGTCTGGCCACTCACTCTCACACCAGTGTCTGTTTGAAGACGAGCGCTGATCTGATTTGCTGTGATGACACGATTTCTCAAGGCCAAGGTACGGATAAATCAATCCTGGGCTTGAGTTGTCGCCCTTGGTCGACCTAAGCGTGGTCTGTCCTGTACAGATTGTGTATCACGGTATCTGGACCATAGCCTGCTTATGAGAGACTGAGAAACATTCATCGTCCGCGCCACAACCGCCTGTGTTGTGCCGATCTGTAGCATGCCAAGGGCACGTAACCTTTCATTTTGGGTAAGCCGACGCATATCAAAATTTGTTTTCTGGTCACTAAAACAATTAAACTGATGTTTCCACCCTGGAATTCAATGCCACAATGACTGTAACATTCAAAGTCAGAGTCGTGCAAATCTTGGGTTGGACCCCCATGATGATCCTAAGCATCACCTGCATTCCATGCGGTAGCTATTGGTGCGTTTGGGCGTCACATGTAACTGGAAATGTTTCTTCTGTTAGGTTCTATAGTGACTTTTTTCTTAGTCATTTGCATATTTTAGTATTATGCCCCCAAAATCAAATATCCCCTACTTTTTTTGAATAGTATAGTATGTAGTGTATGAGAGAAATCACTTCAAGATAAGCCACTGAAGCGTGTACATTCGCCGTGTCGAGATCAACTTTCTGCACGGTGCACGGGTCACCCTACTAATGTGTAGTTATGTGTACAAGGAATGTACAGGCATAAGTAATGTCTCCTGTTTTGTGTTAAAAAGCATTGAAGCGTTTTTATCCAAAAAGGATGTTGTTTTGTTCATTTTAATAAAAAATTTAAAAAAAGCAAAGTTTAAAGTGTATGAATAAAGCAATTCTTACCCACAATTTTTACTTACACTGTAGTCAGCTTTAATGCAATTATATTTAATTTATTTAATAGCAAAGTGACATTATTATTAAATATGGCGATATTTAACTATATCGTTGAAAAAAATGCCAATATCGATATCGTCCCTTTTTGCAATATCGTACAGCCCTAATTGGTTGATGAAAAATAATTTATGCATCATTTGTTTTTCAGTGCTGGTAATATAAGAGTTCTCTCCCTTTCAACAATTCACCTCAACATGTCAGTAAAGGAGGGACATGTTGGGTACACACAAAATTCAGGTGTAGATGAAACAGACTCACAACCAGATATAGGAGCGTGTGGTGGTGGGACTCCAAAACATGGACCCTCTGCAGATCCTCTGACAGAGTCAATGATTGATGATGGAGCTGATAATATTAGTATGGAAGTACATCTGGGTGAAGATTCCTCAAGACATCCAAGTGAAATAAGTTCTGTATCGTACCAGAATTTATTAGAAGATGCTGAAAATTCTAGTCAAGTTTATTCTCGTCGTGATAGTGAGGACAGTAATGACTCTTACCCTCCCGATGAGGGGGATAACTATTTTCCCTCAGAAGATATAGAAAGATTTGAAGCATCAGATTTACCTATATCTGAAAAATATAAGAAACCTTCTGAACCTAAATTAGCAAGTAAAGTTATTTCAGATGTAGAAATTAATATAGAAACTGTATCAGATAATTCACAGGTGAGAAAAATTCAAGATCCGAAGGAAACCAAAGACAAATCTTCTTCATCATCGGATAAAAATAATTCACAAACTTCCAGTTCTGAGCAAAACATTGATAGTAAAGAGACCTCAAATAGTGTATCACTTAGGAAAAAAAATGAACATGCGACTGGTAAAGACAAAAGTGAACCAAAAGAGATAATCAAAAAACGAAATAGTTTGGAAATCAGAAACAACATTCCTACTGTTGGTGAAGTTAAAAGTTATGAAAAGGATTTAGAAGATCTGACCTACAGTGCGCAGGGCGCCAAGCCCAAAATTCGAAAACAGTCTCCAGGACTCGCTAGAAGAGTTTGTGATTCAGAGACTAGTAATGAACGAGAAGGTTCAAGTTCCGAGAGAGAAACAGAACTGCCAGAACAGAAAGTTATGAAAGAAATTCCCACTGATGAACCTGAAGAATTACCTGGTATGGAAATAGAATGTCGTCGTGTAGAGAATGGAGTTTCACAGCTATTGAGTCAACAACGTAGACCAATGGACATTGAAAATGAATATGATTATGTCAAGTATGCGAGAGTGCAACAAGGTAATTCTTATGTAGGTATGAGATTGGCTTATTCAAGTTCAAATGACTCGCTCAATATTAAACGCAACAGTCAAGATACTGGCTCATTGGAGAGTTCTCGAGAAACATCGCCAGAAAAAATTCTTCAGCAAAAAATATTACAGGACTTAGATCATAAAGCATTTCAGGGTCACGTGAATGAAGATTCCTTAATAGAAATACCTTTAAATGGATTAGATGGGGGGATGGGGGAGGATAAAAAGAGTTTTACCTTGTCTCCTGAAAATACTGAATGTGATAGTGTGGAAATAGAGAGTGTTATGTCTGATGGTGAACGTGGTATGCCAACAGTTGAAGATGGTTTATCTAGTAGTCAAGCTAGTGATTATGAAGATGCTAATAACATAGATTCATCTACACCAGCTGCACTTATAAAACAAAAACAGAAAAATGGAGTAAAAAGTTCAAATGAGGTAGGTACATGTATCTGTTTTTCATACGCCCACATTTTCATGTGGACGTATATTGTCGTCGCCCCTGTCCGTCCGGACATCCGCCCACAATTGTTTGTGAACAGTCTACAGGTCACAATTTTTATACGCCCACATTTTCATGTGGACGTATTATGCTGTCGCCCCTGTCCGTCCACAATTGTTTGTGGACTCTCTACAGGTCACAATTCTTATCCGATTTTGACTAAACTTGAAATATAGGTTTATCCCCAAAAGATCTCGGCTGCTTTCGATATTGGCATGTATCGGATCGAAACTTCATGGATTATGGCCCCTGATTGTACGAAAAATCACGTTTTTAGCTTGTGGACCCTATAGAGGTCACAATTTTTATCCGATTTTTTTGAAACTTGAAATGTAAGTTTATAACCCAAAGATCTCAGTTCCTTTCGATATTCGCGCATATCGGACCGTAACTTCCTGAATTATGGCCCCTGATTGTACGAAAAATCGCGTTTTTAGCTTGTGGACCCTATAGAGGTCATAATTTTTATCCGATTTAAAAAAACGTATTATTATATCACTTTTACACCCTAAGGAAGGTTGAGTTCGAATTTCGTGGAAATCGGCCCAAAATTGACAGCAAAATGGCCGCTGTTCGTTCTCAAATAGCGTAAAAATATGGTATATCAAGGTTGTGGACCCTATAGAGGTCACAATTTTTATCCGATTTTGTTGAAATTGAAATATAAGTTTATAACCCAAAGATCTTGGTTCCTTTCGATATTCGCGCATATCGGACTGTAACTTCCTGAATTATGGCCCCTGATTGTACGAAAAATCACGTTTTTAGCTTGTGGACCCTATAGAGGTCATAATTTTTATCCGATTTAAAAAAACCGTATTATTATATCACTGTTACACCCTAAGGAAGGTTGAGTTCGAATTTCGTGAAAATCGGCCCAAAACTGACAGACAAAATGGCCGCCGTTCGTTCTCAAATAGTGTAAAAATATGGTATATCAAGGTTGTGGACCATATAGAGGTCACAATTTTTATCCGATTTTGTTGAAACTTGAAATGTAAGTTTATAAATGAAAGATTTCGGTTCCTTTCGATATTCGCGCATATCGGACCGTCACTTCCTGAATTATGGCCCCTGATTGTACGTAAAATCACGTTTTTAGCTTGTGAACCCTATAGAGGTCATAATTTTTATCCGATTTAAAAAATCGTATTATTATATCACCGTTACACCCTAAGGACGGCTGAGTTCGAATTTCGTGAAAATCGCCCCATAACTGACAGATAAAATGGCCGCCCTTCGTTCTCAAATAGCGTAAAAATATGGTATATCAAGGTTGTGGACCCTATAGAGGTCACAATTTTTATCCGATTTTGTTGAAACTTGAAATGTAAGTTTATAACCCAAAGATCTCGGTTCCTTTCGATATTTGCACATATCGAATTGCAATTTCCTGAATTATGGCCCTTGATTGTAGGAAAAATCACTTTCTTTTTAGCTTGTTCTCTATCCATCTCTCGAAAATGTGGGCATATCCTGCCTGGCAGCCGCTGGTTGTATGGGTATATGTGTATTGCCGATATTGGTCACTTGGACAGATTAATTATATGTATGTAGATGCAGTGATGTGAAATCCTGATAATATTAGGATCAGTTCTGCGACTGAGATAAATTTGTCTTGAATATGGTTGAATATGGGAAGGGCTCATTGAAGGGGTTTTCACTGTGTTGTATATCTCTGTGCCTTAGAGAAAAACATGTCTGTAAAATACTACTAAATGCATTAGAATAGGCTGCTTGTCAAGAAATGTAAGCAAGGTATATTTCTTAGAGTTTATCACAATTCATACTTGTTGTTGTATAGACTGATTTTGTATATATATTGATATCATTTATTAAAAAATTATATTCAAAATATTACCAATTCGACTAATACTTTCTATGCATGGACCAACAGTGACATCGCACATGCTTAAATCTCTGCATTTAAGACTACAGTAGGGTGGTTGCTATCATAATCATACATGGATTGTTATCCATTCACTGAAATTTCTCTTTAAGAAATAAGCCGCTCTGACTTTCCTAAGAGTTAATGGAGGGAGTTGAACAATTAGTCTAATACATGTGATTTAGATCATAAGGTCTGTCATTGAGTCAAATTGCATGGTTTTGGTCCCAAGCTTGTTGAGACAAGGAGTAGGATTGCCTGTTCAATCTTGTGGGTTGTCTCCAGGACCTCCTGTTTCCTCTCACTGCTAAAGACCCCTACGCGCATGCGAATTATTGAAATAAAATTAAACCATATGTTGGTCCCGAAATGACCTAGGCTTGTTTAATTGTTGTGATAGATGGTAATGACCACATGAAATAAATAATTTGTACTTGAAGGTGGAGAAGCCAAAAGAAATTGATGCTCAGGCTATAATGACAGATTTAAAAGCCAAACGAGAAGCTTTAGACAGTGCCATAGCTGATATTAAAACTGCCATACAACAAAGTAAAGGTGTAGCTTTACAGACATCTAAATATTCTAGTGATCCAGAAGAGGAACCTGTGTGGGTTATGAGGTAAGTTATTGGCTTGTTTGTGTATGTAATTGTGACTGGATGCTCTTTTTGGGAATCAAACCCCCAACCCTAGGCATGTAGGCTAAATCCATACACCTCTACCAAGTCAGCCAAATGGAATTCCCTACAACAGAACAATCCAGGTGTTCCCAGATACACAAACATTCACACTTACTGCTACATAATATTGAGATCTGGGTGTTCTTGGCTATTCTTATTTTTTCCATCGTCATTCAGATTTTAAAAAAGAAATATCGGGTTTAACATGATTTACATGTAAAACCTGGATACAGATCATAATTTTTATCCTATTTTGGTGAAACTTGAAATATAGGTTTATCTCCTAAAGATCTTGGTTTCTTTCCATATTGGCATGTATCGGACTGTAACTTCCTGAATTATGGCCCCCGATTGTATGAAAAATCATGTTTTTAGCTTGTGAACACACTAGAAGTCATAATTTTTGTCCAGTTTTGATGAAACTTGAAAGGTATGTTTGTAACCCAAAGATCTCAATTCCTTTCGTTATTCGTGCATATCGGACGGTAACTTCCTGGATTATGGACCTTGATTGTACACAGAATCATGTTTTTAGCTTGTGGACCCTGTAGAGGTCACAATTGTTATCTGATGTTAAAAATCTTTCAAATAAATCACTGCTACACCCTAATGATGGTTGAGTTCGAATTTTGTGAAAATCGGACCGAAACTGCCTGACAAAATGTAATACCAACTTTGTGGGCCGCTCCCCGTACGCAAATGGGCTGTGGATTCTGTAGAGGTCACAATAATTATCAGATTTCAGTGAAACTTAAACTATATGTTTATATCCCAAAGATCTGGGTTCCTTTCAATAATTGCGCATATCGGTTTGTAACTTTTTGGATTATGACCCCTGAATTTATGCTAAATCAGATTTTTTAGCTTGTTATCATCTCTTGCAAAATATGGTTGTATCTTACACGGCAACCTCTTGTTCTTTATCACCATTGGGAGCCATGGTGGCTTAGTGAGTAAGACGTTGGCTCGCTAACCGGGAGGTCCTGTGTTCGATCCCTGCGCTGGCCGAGAAGGGTTCTCCCTTCTCAGTCATGCAGGACAGAGGGCCTGTGTACACATTGACATGCACGTAAAAGTTCCATTGGCAGTTGAAATTCGATATAAGAATAGGCCGTTGTGCTACTCTGGGGCAAAATTTTCCTCATAGAACACTGTATTGCGTATAGCCGTCTCCATTAGCCTAGTTGGAGCAGAACAGTAGGACGTTAAACCCCATTTCATTTTATCGTTGTGTTGTTAAAGTTTTGTTACAGCATTTCTGTTTTCTACTTTCTTGTGTGCAGAATAGAGTGACGATGTCATAGTCAATAATTACAATAGCAGCAAAAGTACAGACAATGTTTGATAATGATAATAATACATTGTAGTCCTTTACAGTATTTATATAGCGCGATAATACTATAACAGACGTTTCTCTATTAAACTGGAATGTCTTTAGCTTAGATTTAAATGCATTTAAGGAGTCAATAATGCATTCCATAAGAGAGGGGTAGCGAATGAGAGATCTTTTTTGCGATTTCAAGAATCACTGATGGTTGATGCAGAAATTGTAGATTTATATGGAGTGATCAGATCTTTGATATATTTTGGTGATTGATCATGTAACACCTTGAAAGTAAACAGTAATATTTTGAACTTGATTCGCTGTTGAACTGGGAGCCAAATAAGATTTTCAGGATTATACAAAGAAACACGATGGAGGAATTTATTTATGCTAGCCCTGACCTAATGAAATGTCAGTCCACACTGTACACATGTATTTATGTCCCCACCCCTACCAAATACATCTTAGTGCTACATGTATAGATATACTAATTACATGTACATGTAATAATTCACTAAGATTATTTATATTTATATCCTTTGAATTCTAAAGTTTCATGATTTGAACCTGGTCTTACATTGTAGTATATACACCACAATTAATGGGGTGTTCCCACTTAGCCGGCAGGCTTTGATGTCAAATTTTGCCACTAATCCAGAGTTAATCCTAGAACAATGGTGTTATAAACTATAGTCCATATCTTTTTTAAGACTAAAACTGTATTGATTTTAACAAATTTAACTTTTATTAAATAACATTAAATAGCTTACACATATAAAAATATATTGATTTTAACAAATTTAATATTTATTAAATAACATTAAATGATTTACACATATAAAAATGCATTACAATTTACACATTTAACTTTTATTAAATAGCATTATATAATTTATAAATAAATGCCTTACAACATAACAATCATTTTACAGCCCCACTAAATATCGGCCACCTCGATTATTGGAGATAAAGCGAATATTAACCTGAAATTGCCATTTTAAAATAAATATAATTTCGACACAGATCGACCATCTATTTATATTGATATAGTGAATTGAATTCATGTTTGAAATCATAACGCCGGCATGAAATGTGTTCAAAATGTCATTAATTAGTTGGTTAATAAATTTTATTAAAAGGGATTAAGAGCTCATTAACGCTGAACACTAGTGAACAGTTCTTGAGTGACTACTTTTAAACAGACTATAGTTTTAAGATCAATCAAAGGATCTTTCTTTTGGCCTCAAATGTTATATAAGTTATGAATAAGACATTTATTTACATGCCAGGCCCATAATCAACTCTAGAACTTCGGATTTAAATATGATTGGCAGTTAATGATTTAATTTGAAAATGGATAATCAAGACTTTTTTTATTATTGTAACAAGGGTAGCAATGACACTCAAGACTACACTGATATGTAAATGACGAAAAACTCCTCTCAGAATAAAGTAATTTGACGGAAATTTTCAACATATTCCCTTTTCATTAACTGTCAGTTCCTTATCTACTGCTACAAACTCCTACACATATTTTATTAAAATAAAATTAGTCCCAAAATGATCAAGTTTGTGTCGAGTTGGTGTTAAAGTAGCTAAATATTTGTCAATTCAAATCAACATTGATGTTGTGCTCTGATATTCAATATTTGATACAAAATAAACATTTTACCATAATGCATTTCAGCGCCATTTGTAACAAGGGACTCGAAGAACGAGGTTAGACATATTCCACAAGTCATGTCAAACAGTGATGCCATATTTTTATTTTGAGAGCATGTCAGTAAATACTATCGGTGTAAATTAAAATATTTCGCCGAACATAATTGATTAGAAATTATAGTAAAAACAGAAATGATTGAATGTAAATCAGTTTATATACATTCATATTACATTATTATATGCATTGCTACCCATTTGTGTCAATTTATGTAGAGTTTGAACTTGTATTGCTTGCTAACCTGCTAACCTGGGTTATTTTGAAAATTGAATATGATTTTATAAATTTTAAATTCAACATTTTTGGGCTGAAAGCACAAGCAGTACTTCTTTTTACCAAGCTTTTAGCCGAAAGGGCTTATGTGATCATTTCTGTCCGTCTGTTTGTCTTAACTGAGATTTTAACCAAATTTTGGATGTATAGTTAAGTTTTTTTGAAAAGTCACGTGGAATATCCCGATACCCTAGGATCAGATAAGCATCACTTAAAAGAAGCGATGAATTAATTTTTGTCAAAGAGTAGGTGGAACCACTACTGTTTGGAGCAGGGATTGACATCAGACTAAATCCTGTTTCCCGATTTCATTCAGATATTCGGAATAAAATATTGTTTTATATGAAAAAAAAAAATTCTTTCTGGGTAAGATTTCCCTTGTACATATAGTGATAGATGTGTTATACTAGTTATAGAATTAGATAAATACATGTACTGATAGTTTAATTTCCATGTGTGAAGTCGGATACATGTAAAGGTCATATGTAAAGGTTTAGGGACCATTTCCTGAATGCTGATCAAAACTTAGAATTGCAAGAATATAAAGCAGCAACCGAGGTCGCTTCCATGCCAAATAGACTGGCACTAATCACAGTCTGTATAGATTTTCATGTGATTAATTATAAATACATACATCTATGTAGTTTAATGAGCTGTGATTCAATTATAGTCTGTTTCAATGACATTTTATAATGGAACTGGAGATTCACCTCAAGCTTGATACATGTAAACACTAGAGAAAACTAGTTGAAACATCACTCAGTAGTAATTGTATTCTATAGAATTGTTTCGTGTGTGTATGAATTTTAATCCTGAATTATGTTGTATGTGAACAACTTTGTTTGATATCTTTGAAATCACCTATACCCGTTAAGAACGTGTCAATGTCAAACATGGTGCTTAATTGTTGAGAAAAATCGTTGATATAATTCCAAGACCGTTTGCATGTCTTGTATATGGGTTGGTTGTTGAAATTATTTCAGTAATTTTTATTTCTCAAAATTCAACTGCTATCGAAACTAAGATGATAAATATTTGCATACAACCCCACCTATTATGACTTCCATTGCTGAGACGTTTTCTGATATTTTAGCCGCCTGTGGATAAAATTAAGGGTTCATTTTCAAAATACAAGTAGACCACATCATCAAATAAATGGCCACAAAAGATCATTAAATAAGAAATTTTGAATGTGATCTTTGGCAACTAAAACCATGTGGAAATTACGGTACTGGTAGTATAAGTATTTGGTTTTGTGGCGTACCAGCTTATTTACACTCAAGACATATGTGTAGTTTATTATAATTTATAGTCTGCGTAGGTCAACAATTTACAATTGAAAAAATTATGAATTTTGATAGGGTTCCTTTAGTAAGTCCCAAATGAACATCCAAAAAATCCATTAAAAACTTTGTCAAATGTTTTTACATGCTTTACAAGTCAAAATATGACTAGAAATATACATTGTACAAGCGTATATCGGCAAAATGAATTTGAAATTTAAGATCCAGTATTGAAATTCGATAGAGTACTTCCTTATACCCTAATAAACAATCTACCTGTACCAAGTTTATACATCAAAAACTCTGTTGAATATCGCATTTACAAGTTTTAATAAATTTG